CACCCCCCCCCCCCCCCCCCATCCACCCACCCATCCATCCACCCACCCACCATCCACTCATCCACTCATCCACCCACCCATCCATCCACCCACCCACCACCCATCCATCCACCCATCCACCCACCCACCCATCCATCCACCCATCCATCCACCCACCCATCCACCCACCCATCCACACAACTATCCATCAACTCATCCATCCACCCATCTACCCACCTACCCATCCACCCACTCATGTAACTAATAAATATTTCCTGAGCATTTCACAGACTCCAAATCTAAAAACCAAACACTGTGTCTTCACCAGCTGACCCCTCCACACTTCCTCAAACACACCCGTGTCTCTAACTCGCTGACTGGTGTTGGCAGAAAAAAGGGGACATAGACTATATGCTGAACTGCAGCTGCGGTGTGGCTCTCGCTTCATGACATTTTGTCTACGGTGCCTGCTGCCACGCTCTCCAATCTTCCCACAAGGCCTCTGAGTAACATAAAGCAGCTTACACCGTCAGCAAGGAACACACACTTAGGTGCTGACTGTAGCATCTAACAGCTACTTGGTTCTAGCAATCTACAAGGTGCACGCAGGCAAAAGATGAACTTGAGGACTTTGAGTTTACAAATCCCCAAACCTTGTGTTTCTCACAGGGGACTGAGCTCAGCCCACCCACTCCTGTGCCCACCTGCTAATCCAGGCCAGAGCCTGGACCAGGGAAACCCGGCAGCAGGTGACACAGAGTTCAGCTCAGAAACTGGGTCACCATGTCTGACAGCCAGTGGCTGCTCCCAGTCACCTCCCAAGGACACGCCTGCACTTTCAAAGTTCAGCCCTCCCCTTCCCAAAAAGCTGCCTCAGCTCGATTTCTACCACCTGCCCCCCCCATCTCCCTCAAACTTCCCCTCTTCTCTCCTCTCCTGCCCTAAACAAACACACGTTTGAAGGAGAAAATGTGTCTGTCTGTTACTCTTGCCCCAACATTTGGGTGGACCACCATGGTCGGCAGCTACGTCAGGGCCACATTCTACGTGTTGGCAAACGCAATTCCTGCTATATGGCAAACTTCCGCTCCTGCACGTTGGCGTGTGTCTACACACGCAGCGTGGACACTGGCTGTCCAGGGGAAGGGCAGAGGTGAGCGTTTCCTTAACCAGCATGGAAACGCCTAGAGGCGGCCTGGCCCACTGCGCACGTCTTCCCCGTGTTAACAAGACCGCGCGTGGAAGCGAGATCCAAGGTGCAGAAGCTGAAAGGAAGAATACTCGGGTGCCCTGCAAATCTGAGAGAGACGGGACCGCCCTTTTGCTGTTAATTGTGTCTCTAGTGCAGGCAACTGGTTATTTTTTAAGAAAGAACCATGAATAATAAAACGTGAACTTTGAAAAAAAAAATGTTTTCAATGATTTCTAAAGCCGTAAGGAGCTGTTTCACTTAACCTGAACATAATTTCATATAAGAAAGGCCTCGTCTTTCTTTCAAACCCCGTGAAGAGCAAATAACCTTCAAATCTCCCCAGTGAAGCAGAGCTGAGAAGACTGTTTCACGAGCTCGGGGTGTGCACAAGCCAGTGGACAAAGGCCACCTGCAGGACCGCAGGGCCCGGACTGCCCTCGGCTTGGGCAGGTCTCATCCCCTTCTCTGAAAGGCTTAACTCACTGACCAAGTGCTTCTTTCAACAAAAATTGCCAAATTAACACAAGAGGCTATGAATAAAGCAAACTTGAGGGACACAATGACTGTGTCCCCTAACTCATGTCACATGCGCCTCCCAGGGAGGAAGAACGGGAGAGCGTGTGCAGGTGTGGGGCGTCCTCATGGCATCAGACAGGACACCCGACACGGCTGCAAATTACCTTTGGCCCTTGTCTTCCTGGGTACCCGGGTAATCCTGGGACTCCAAGTTTTCCCTGGGGAAACAAAAAGAGTCGCCTTACACATGAGCATGGCACTTGTCCCTCCGCTTTCTCTGGGCAAAGGGAAAGCCCATGTTCTTCAGGGAACTGCAGTAGGATGCAGTTTCCGAAGCAGTGACACCGCCATCCTGGAGCGGCCTCTGCCTGTCCTCTGGGATGGAGCCTCACTCTCAGGAAGTGAGACGGGACCTGATAGTCCCAGTGCGGGTTGAAAAGCAAGGGCCCACGAGCAGAGATCGGTGCATGGCCGAAGCGACAGGGCTCAGAGACAAACACCCTGAACGTGAGCACGCTCGTCTGTGGGACGCTTCTCCGCCCGTGGTAAGAGCTCTAGCCATGGGGTAAGATGGGGCAGGAAGTGCGGCCACTCCTTGGGCCATGCCCGCCGGGGCCGAGGGTGGGAGCAAGACGGCGCAAGGGCGGCACTGCTGGTGCTGAGCGCAGCCGCGTACCAAGAGCCCCCAGCGGACGCAGCGAGCCTCCGTTCGTGCCAGGCTGCTACGCCATTGGGCCATGGTGGGGGACGCTGTCATTACCCCCAGTATGGAACCGGGAACTTGACAAAGACAGGGGTCCTCGCATGTGGGTGATGGGGATCAGACCCCCAAACTTTACGGATACCTGGAGGAAGTGGCCCCTCTGAGGCGATGGCAGGGGCTCAGAAGGGCCAGACTCCGCACGAGAAAGAGCCAACCCACAGGGAGGGCGGCCAGAGGCCCCGGGTGAGAGGAGAAGCTCACTTGGGAATCCCAGCTATCCCAAGACTAGGGAGCCCGGGGCCACAGGGAAGGTCCTATCTAAAGCCTTTGCCAAGCTTGGATCCTGCCCGGGAAGTGGTCAAGTGTCCTGTGTCACGAACCTTCTCCCCAGAGGGTCCCAGAGGACCAGGATCACCATTGGGACCTCCACGACCCTTTGGGCCTTCGGGCCCATCTTCTCCTCTGGGACCGGGTGGACCGATCTCCCCCTGCAAGTCAGAAAAGAGGAACTGAGGCAGCCCCCCACAGTCTGTCCCCCACCAGCAGCTCCCACCACTGCTCTGAGAGTGAGAGCAGATCCAGGCGCCTCGTGGTGAGAAGGTCCAGGCACCCGGCCCCACTCGAGCAGATGAGCCGCTCCCCGCAGCACTGACAACCGGAGCCCACTGTGCAGTGGCCGATCACAGGGCCCTGCAGAACGGCCGCGTGGCACTCTGCACCCAGGCGCCTGCTGTGTTCTCAAGGCGCACACTCCCGCTTCCCATTACCTTCTCTAAATCGAGTGCCTCTTGGCGAAAATAACTCTGGTGAACAATAGCAGCTCTGAATTGCTACTTCCCCAAATACAGCACGGTGACTGGGGAGCTGCTCTCTTCTCCTGAACCCCCAGGAGGGGTGGAGATGGACCACGGCCCCTGGACTGGGCATAACTGGCACACAGGAGACCACTGATTGCATCCCAGAGACAGAGGGCTTAAGCTCTGCCTTGCTCAGTTCCTCAGGTCACAGACGGAGCACCCAGGCTCAGGCGCCTGCTAGGTCAAGGGTGGCACCCAGGTGGGATCTCCGAATGCCCGTCCTGGAGCTGTTCGTCTGTCTGCCTGTGGACTAGTCCTCCTCGGATCACAGCTGTGCAGCCCCACAGCAAGTATGTGTGTGTCACACGGTTAAAGAAAGATTAATAACTTCCCAGCGCTTAAGCTCCAGTCTGTTTGCAGGTCGAGAACTCTCTGTACCAAAGAAGCGTTCCTCTTGTTCGACAAAATAATCCTTCGCATATTTGCTGAGCATCTATGAAGAGCCAAGCACTGGGCTCTGATCTCCAAGAGAAATCAAGACCAGGGGCCCTTGTTCCCTGGGCTCGGGAGGTGTCCCACTGCCGGATCCCACCCTCGTCCACCTGCACCAGGAGCTCTGGGCGTGAGGACTGCGGAAGGTCTTGTGTGATCTCTTTTGAAGCCGTACCCTCCTAATGTGGTCCCCAAATGTGTGTATTGAGTCATCAAAGGAGGGGTAAAAGGGGCTTTCACTAGTCAAACAGAGAAGCCCCTTCGACGTGGGGGTCTTAGGGTTCCTTCCACTACACGGAAAGTTCTAGAATGGCTGTCTTCCACAGCAGCATAACTGGGATGTGTGGTGAAATGAGTCCCTCTCTTGCACCCTCCTTCTGCAGGGTACGGGCTGGTTTCTGCCTTTTGCCTGCTAGGTTGCCACACGCTGCCAGGTGGGCAGGGCTCTCTCGTTCTGGGGTCTTCCAAAAAGGCGCCTGCAGACCCCACTTTGTAGGGGGATAATTACGGCAGCCGATGACAGCCCCACCTTGACCGACAGATGTCCATCCAGGTGCGTGCACAACTGCCAACCCAGCTGTGCCCACCAGAGAGCGGAGGCGGCTGGCTTCCTGCTGCCTGGGCGTCCCCTCGCTCTGAGGTTGTCACGGAAGCTACGAAGTGTTCCCACTGCAGCCGGCCCACCACCCGGGAACGTCCCCAGTGCCCTTTGTGTCACCCTCTGTGCATTTATGTGAAAATAAAGCCCATGGCTTTCCGTGGACGCCTCCCACTTGAGAGACCCTTCCTCTCCTGGCACTGACCAGCTTTCTCTGGAGCTGAGATAAATTATTCATTAAAAAACAAGCCAGGTGGTTGTGGGCGTGGGGTCCTAAAAGGCAACTGAAGGGCTTTATGGGGAGCACGATGCACTAAGGTCTCAGCGGGGTCCCCAGACCCTCATCAGGCACCTCTCACTATTGTCCTTGAGTCAAATGAACTGCTCTGCAACCACAGCATCGGTCAGAAAAAAGGCATCCCCCCGATCCACTGATGCAGAACACAGGGCAGAGGAGCCGGGTGACCCCTAGGTATCCTCAGTGCCCAGAGGGTTAATACAGGTGAGAGGCACCGCCTCCTGGAAGCTGAGACAAAGGCGAAGGGGAGCTGGAGAGGGCCTGGCCCCTGGGCCCCAGGCCACCCCTTTCTGCAGGCCAGGAATCTCTGCAAAGTTGTCACGTCCATTTTGAGAAGCTGCCCTGATACCCAAAACACCCTAGCCCCAACCGCAGGGCTCCAAGCCCACCCTACCTTTACCCAGGTTGAACCCCAATCCCGAGATACTCACCCGATCACCCTTGATGCCCATGTCGCCTTTAAACCCAGGGAAGCCATCTTCTCCCTGAGTAAGGGACAGGAGAATGCCTCATTGTAGACAAAGAATCCCCTTCCTCCAGCACTGACCTCCCTGCTCCACACCACAGACCCGCACTCGGCGCGAAGTCCCCCAACCTCAGGGCTGCAGCACGTGCTGGACGGGTGGGTTCTGAGTGCCCGTCCCTTGTGAAGCGCATTCCTGTTAACCCTTTGCAGCTCTGGCCAGTTTTGGCCAGCTCTGTGCCTTGGTCACCCTGGGCCAGCTTGAGCGGAACATTCTGCACAGCCGGGCACCATTTCCCTGAGCAGTTTTGCAGCACCACAGGCCAGTAGCGGGTGAACAGGTGAACACGTGAGGAGGGGGATCTGGACAAAATTGCCCCCCAGGAGACTGGGAGGTGCTGCCTTGCATTGCACAGAACAGGAACGAGCTCAGGAAGGGATGGGCATTGTCAGAAACTATACACATCAGTGCTGCTTATGGACTTGGGATTTGCCAGCAAGGCTGTCGGATGTCAGCAACCTGCTGTGTATTCAAGTCCCTGGCCTGGACTTTCCTCATCCAGGAAACCACAGAGCATACCCCTCAGACACTCTGCACAGGGCACAGCTGGCTCCCGGGAGAGGGACCTTGGCTTGGGCCTTCCCTCTCATTATTTGGGGGCTACATCTTGATCCAAGAGGAGCACAAAGAAGGGATCTGGGGACTCAGCCAGGCCGTAAACAGTCAAGGCCCAGCTGGGAGCGTGCACAGACAGAGATGACCTTCTGGAACGTCTCCAGCCAGCCACTGCCCCCAATGCCTAGTCCATGGTGGTCATAAAGTGACAGTAACTTAGCAGCAGTGGTCACAGAAATGCTGCAGTCCCAGAAAGACAGTTCCTCACCACTGCCCACACCCCTCCATCTCCAGAACCGTCTCAGGCTGCCTCCTATAGCCCCTCAGGGACAGCGCAGTGACTCTCCTGGCAAGAAGGCGTGCCCCAAGCAACCCAATCAATATCATCTCTAGCAGCCTTTCTCCAGCTAGCAACAAACATGACAAGATAAATGTGGCAAAGCTGGGACTCTGGGAAGCCCCCTTCAAAAGGATGAAAGGTCCCCAGTGGTGGAGCCATCCCCGAGGTCAATGGGATGGGGATTCTGGAACATGGGGGCCTGTGACTAGCTGCCCGGGAAAGAGCATCTAACAACCGAAGAACTCCTCGGCCAGCTGCCTGGCGAGACAGCCCACCTGGGAGGGGAGCGTGGGGCCCATCTGGGGTCAGGGCCTTCTTCTCGGGCCCACTCAGGCCCGCCAGCAGATGTGCTCCACGGTACCCGAGTGCCCGTCCTCCTTGACTTTGTGTGCTTCCTTTTGCAAGCAAACACGCTTTCCCACAGAGCAGTGTTAGTTCTCAATATCCAGAGGCGACATCCACCCCAGCTGGTTTTACTGAGTGCTGCTGTGGAAGGAGCCGCCCAGCTGGAATCCAGCTGTGGGCCGTCCCAGGGGACACAGCTGGAAGGAACAGACACTCACCTTCTCACCCTTCGTGCCCTTCAGACCTCGGATGCCATCGGCCCCCTATGCAGGTGGGAAGAGGAAACAGAGCGAGTGATTACAAACCTGCGCCTCTGCTAAGCTCTCACAGGAAGTGGGTCCGAGCCCCGAGCATGAAGACAGGCTGAGCTCGCGGCAGCTGACGGACGAGCCCGCTGCCCCACCCCGGACAAGCCCCTTCCCACGTGTCCTCAGTCTCAGGTAGACGAAGCCTTGGCGGACTCCAGAGGCGTCTCCTGTCCTTCTGATTCTGGCCCAGAGTGTCTGTGACTCCTGGAATGGCCCCCACTGACTACTCCTCTGTATGTGAAAGACCCAACCCCAACCCTAGCCCTTCTCCCCAAGCTCTGAGCCCCAGAACCACCTTCCGTCAGCCCACACCCCACAGCCAACACACCCATCTTAGAAGCCCCTAGCATTTCCTATGCTAACATCCCTCCCTCTTCTAGAAACATCCCATCTCTCGGAGGTTTGGAGAGTGAGCAAGATACGGGGTCTGCGTCAGGCAGGCTGGTTTAGGTCCCAGACACGTCTCAGACTTGTGCACACCCAGTTTCCTCGCTTGGGAAGTGGGGATGATGACAACCTTACCTTGCTCCCGCTGCTGGGAGGGGAACACCTGTAAGGCCCCTGGACAGTGCCTGCACACAGTAGGTGCTCAATAAATGGTAACTGTCACCATCTGATTATTTTAATTATGTATTACCATTAATATGTGTATGTTAAAATATTGTTGATTAAAGGAAATAGCAATGATTATTATGGTTGTAATCAATTCAGAACATACCATCCCATCTCCCTGATAAACATGAATTTTGAAGGTGGGGACCGGGCCCACCCCTCTGATATTCTCACTGTGCCTGGCACCCCCAGCGGAGTTCAAATCCGGGGGATGGGATTGTGCAGCTGTGCCCTCACTCTGAGCCTGTGGACCTCAGACCTCCAAGCAGGTGACTTTTAGCTACAGAGACTGACCACTGACTTTGGGCTCCCTCTGGCCACCTGCCCGCAGGACCCCAGAGAGAGGTCACACCCCCTGGTTGGTCCTGAGCCGAGGTCTCTGCAGACCAGGGGTTACTGGCTGCCTCCTTGTGGCCAGAACTTTCCACAGACTCTGCAATTCTGAGCCTCTCCCAAGGCCAGGAGGGAAGGGGTCTGGGAAGAGCTGGAGAATGAGGGATGGAAGCCCACAGGGGCCTCTGCAGAGCTGGGACTTGGCTTGGGCTGCCAGCCTTGCCCTCTGCCCAGAGGGACAGCCAATGTGGCTCCTGGAGCACCCTCCACCTTCCACCACCCCAGCCGCGAGGCACCGGGGGCTACGCCGACAGAGGCAAGGTGGGCAGTCACCCTGAAACCCTGCTCACTGAGGGCTTGGAGCAGCAGGAGACAGGAGCCAGCTTAGCCATGCACACTCTGTGGTTGACAATCGCACCTGCTCAGTGCCCAGGCCCTTACCACTAACAGAGAGACTGTGACACCTGGATCCACGGCCCCCAGGGCAGAGCGGAGGCGGTGGGAGGAGGGGGCGGCAGACGGCTCTCGCTTATCCAGCCTGACACTGGGTACACTAATAAGAGCCCACACTGCAGGGGGCTGAGATCATCGTGAGCCCAAATCCCTGCACCAGGGATGGCAGGGCACAGCCACAAAAGCAGCACAGGCCCACAGGGGACCCGAGTCCACACTTGCTTCCACCTGAGCCAGTGACAGGGCATTACGCCCCAAATGGGGAGGAAGCCGGCACAGACAGGGAAGGCGTGCCGTGGGCATGCGTGTTTGTGGGCGAGCCTGCGAGGAAGCTGGGGGCAGCCTGCCACACGCCAGCCCTGGCCCAGCTCCCGCACACAGCAGCGCCAGCACACGGCAGGCGGCTGGAAACATCGGTGGGTGCAAAGAACCCACAAGGCAAGAGTTGACTCGGCCTCCAGGCTAGCGGTTTCCAAGAACTGTTTTTTCCTCAGTAGGATGCCTTCTTCCAAAGTGACCCTCAATGGAAGCTCCCAAAGGCAAGGAAAACAAGTGGGACACTCGGGCTGACACAGGGCTGGGGGCCCAGACCCCCGCCTGCTGCCTCCCAGGCCTAAAGCTCTGCCATTTTTCAATCTATGTCAGAGGAATGGGGCCAACTAGACTAGACCAGGGCTTCTCAGCTGCAGCGCTATTGACTTTTGGGGACAGATCATTCTTTAGGGTGGGGGCTGTCGTGTGCACTGTACTGTTTGGTGGCATCCCTGGCTTCTGCCCATTGATGACAGTAGCACCCCACATACACGGTCATGCAAAAACTGGCCCTAGTGAAGAACACTGGGCTGGGGCGTCCACTGTGCCCTGGTGGGCCAGATCTTGTGGCAGGGGAGTGCGAGAGTCACTGAGCACCTGAGAAAGGATCAGCTCCACCTGCAGAGGTGCAGACAGCCCAGGGAGGGACAGGTTTGCTCAGGGCCTTGGTGTGAATTCCCATCTAGGGTCTTTGGGCATATATCCAGGGCCTATAGGCTAGATGAGGGGTGGACTTGACTTTGCTCACAGTTAAGCCCAAACAGATACCCAAGGCTCATTAGGCAGATGACACCTTGTCCATTTTCAAATGTATGGAGTATGAGAATCCATTTCCCCAATAAAAATTGCTTCAAACCTTGGTTTCCCTTCCACCCTCTCCTTCCAAGTCTAACTGGATTGCTCATGTCGGGAATGAATTTTAATTAGACAGACAGGATAAGAGCATTCTCCATAAACATTTTAATGCAGACACCTTCTTAGCTCGCAGAAGCAGCATCACGCAATTAGTCATGTATGGAGCTGGCAAAGGCTTTTGCTATGCGACAGGAATTTGTAAAGTAAACATGCATAGAGCTCACATAATCAGCATTTCAGCAAAATGATCACCCTTATAAAACTCACTAGGCATTTTGCTGGAGAAAGCATGCTTCAGGAAGAAACCCAACCCGCCTGAGGCCCCCAACCGTTGGGAGGTCTCTCCAGCGGCTCCTGAGCTTGGAATATCCTGATTCTAGGAAATGGAAGGCGGGGCTTCCATTTCTGCTTGGGGAAGAGGATGGGGAGCTTGGTGAAGAATTAGCGATCTAGGCTTGAGTCCTGACTGCAGCATCGATTTTAGTGTGACTTGGGGCAAGTCGCTGAAAACTGAGGTCTTGGTTTTCTATCCTCCACGCCCTATGCCAGATGTGCATACAGCATTGCAGACCACAGAGATGAGGGGCAGGGCAGCTTATCAGTGTGCTTAGTCACATGCCTCAAGCTAAACTAGTTGTTTTATATATACATTTGTATTTATATAAATAAATTTATATTTGTACATATATATATGTATTTCCCTCACATTAAGTTAAAATCACTTTGAAGGAGAGAATCACCATTAGCTTTTTTGTGGACAGGAAGCCTGGACCTTTACGGTGCTGCAGCGTCGCTGGTCTCAGAAAGAAGAGAGCCTGTCTGCAGACGCTCCTAGGGGCACACGCTCTCCCGATAAATGTGCCGCCACGCCTGGGCGGCAGCGTAACTCCAGATCAAATTGCAAATTTGCTCCAGATAAAATTGCAGCAGGGGGCCTGTGTTCTGAAAGTTGCTCTGGAGCTCGGAGCCCTGTGTGTGGGTTCCAGGCACTCTCCGTCCTGACAGACGGCCACCATCATGCCATCTGCCTGGTCACAGGCGACTGGAGATCATCCCCTGCTCCTCATCAGCCCCTCCTGACTCTGGCTGGCCACAACCTCACCTGCTCAGGCCCACTGTCCCAGGACCCAATGTCCCCGCACACGTGACTGGGAGGACCAGGCTACTCCAGTTTGGGCTGAGGAGGTTTAACCACAGATGAATTCCCTACGACCTGCTAAGCCATGCCCCGGAGCCCCAACCCTCCAGGAGGAAGGACTGCAGCTGCGTGACTCTCTCTCACCTTGACTCCTCGAGGACCTGGGTAGCCAATTGGACCCTGGGGGCCAGGTGGACCCTGGAATGAAAGGGTAAAGACCATCAGCTCCATTTCAGGTGGGAGGTGCCTGGTTAACTCCACTTAACTCCTGGTCCTTCCAGCACACACCAGAGGTGAGTTTCCACCAGCAGACACCCCTCTTGCTTTGAGCCCAGCAAACACCCTGGTTGGACCTTCCAAAGAAGTTCCCGCAGGGGACATGAGAGGCATTTGTGCACAGCCCATGATAAAGACGGAGACAGAAGGTTTGCCCCTAATGGGCAAGAACACCTGAGATCAACCAAGCTGCCGGGTCCTGCCCCAGCAGTCCAGAAATGACGATGGGTTGGGGGAGCAGTGACATGGTGGAAGGCCAGCTTCAGTGCTCGGGGAGGACACAGTGGCCATTGAAGAAGTCCCCAGCCCAGGGGCCATGGAATAACATAGAGCTTCTGGCTGGGGGAAGGGAGCCAGGGCCGGTTGTCCAGGGAAGGGATGTCCTTCCACAGCCAAATGGCCCTGTCAATGCTGGTCCAAAGGCACCAGGTGGTGTCAGCCCCACCTCCCACTCAGGAGGCCTGAGCCGAGAGGGGGTCTCCTCACATGCCCTCTCAGGCTGGGTGCACCTCCTCTGCGCGGGGCTGCAGCTCTATGAGGGCAGGTGCAGTAACCCGAGTGTGGAGTGAGGTCACACTGACCCAGACAAGAGGACTGGGAGGCATGGGAGGGATCCTCGCTGGCAGGGATAGGAGGACCTGGCTTCCCAGGGGGAAAGGTCCCTGTCCCCACACCACCCCAGGCTGGGTCCCCTCGGCAGAGATATCTGGGAGGGCTGGAGCCATCCCGGCTCATTCCTCTCTAAGCTGGGGTGTCCCAGAGCAGAGACTGCACCCAGAGCCCCTGGCCCACCCTGCCCGAGATGCTGAGGGGAGGGTGCGGCGAGTACTCACCTGACCTCCTTTCTCTCCTGGGGGGCCTTCTTTGCCTGGGTGCCCCTGTCACAAAAGAGGAGGTCGTCATTAGTCAGCAGCCACCTCGGAAGGAGCCTCCCCCAGGCTTCCCCTCCTTCTGCGGCACTCGGAAGACACAGCAGCCACGGCCGAGATCCCATATCCCTCCCTCCCCAGGGAAACGAAGAAGCCGGGCGGCTGGCAGGCAGCCCAGCACAACGTGGTCACTCCCAGCCAGTGGCCCGAGCTGCTCATTCAGGCCCTGAACCTCGGCTGCTTCACCTGCAAAATGGCAATCATAAGTGGGGCCCTGGCCACGTCAGAGCCAACCACGGAGGTGAACACGCTCCACGACCCACAAGCACGCGGACAGCCGCACCTAGGCTGCCACTAGGCTCAATGCCTTTCAGCTCATGACAAGGGAGCTGAGTACAGATGACAAAAGCAGCCAGATCAATGTTCACCGCCTGGAAGTCCAGATCCACCCACAAGGACTCTGGTGGAAAGAGGCCACGCAATGTGGCGTGGAGGCTGGCAGGTAGGCCTGATTCCACTCCTGGAGACATCTGCCTGCTGTGTGACTGTGGGCAAGTCACTTGCCCTCCCTGGGCCTCCACCTCCCCGTGTAGAAACTGAGAGGTTGGGCTAGATGCCCTTCCAGCCCGACTGTTCTAAAGATCCGGGACTCTATCCCTAGACACGGCAGCGTTCTGCAGACCCAGGTCTCATCTCTTCAATAAATGATTTATGTGTGCCCTTTTCAATTTTTATTAGTTGTACAATTAGATTTGATGCCTTTGCAAATAGCCTATTGTGATCACAAAGCAAGTCTGACTGAGGGTGGAAAAGTTGCTCTGTAAGGAAGCCCATGGTGGGTAGGACCACGCCTGCTGCCCCTGCCCGGGGGGGACATTTTGGCCACCCAACCGCCTTCCAGAAAGAGGCTCATGGTGCCAGCACCTCACGATGGCAGGGCTGGACCCACACAGTGCCAAGGGCAGGGGTCCTGCTGCATCGTGGCTAGGAGGTGTTCTTGGTGGGCTTTTATGACAGTTTCCTTCAACCATAGATGTTTTTCTGTGAAGGAACTGGGGGGTAGGAGTCTGTGGGTGGCCAAGTGCCAGGCTCCAGCCAGAGTGACGCACACTGGGGCAGACCCCACGTCCCGGTCCCTCAGGGAAGCCGGCTATCCTCCCCACGTGTTCATTCCCCCCACATGCTGGAGATGATGATACGCCTGCACCACACAGCTGCTGCGGGGACCGAAGGCACTCAGGATAGCCTGACGCAGCACATGACCAAGAAATGTCACTGGTCATCATGATGACTGTCATCTGTACCGAGGCCAGGTTTCTTTAAATACATTTTAAGTCGCATTTGTAGAATGAGAGAAAGTGTGTCAGGAGGGAGGATATCAAATGCTTACCTAAAATGTTTGAATAAAAAAAATAAAAAGGAAATATAACAAAAAGATGAGGGACTGGTTTTTCTACAGTGGATCTTCCTCTTTATTTCTACTGTTTTTATGTTCCGAACATTCTGTAATGAGCACTACTTTTATAATGGAAAAATAACAAAGTTGAAGTTATTTGTATTTAATATTTTTCTGGTTAAAAAAGTGATATATTTTCATTGTGGACAATTCAGCAGGTGGAAAAGGAAATTAAAATCCTTCCTACCCTCGCCGCTCAGGGCCACGAGGCCAGCTCCGTGACGCAGCCCTTCCAACCCCTCTCCTCTGCGTGCGCGCTTGCAAAATGGCCGCGGTGTACTACTACCTCCTTAATGTAATGTTGGATCGGAGCATTTTCTCACGTCGTTGAATATTCGTTGAAGTCTCATTTTTACTGGCTCCGTAATATTCCATTGAAACATAATTCATTTAACCATTTTCCTATTCTATTCTATTCCATAAGAATTACGTAGCAATTTATTTCAGGTATTGAGTCTGATTTGAAACACCTCACACTTCCTGATGGGTTTCAGATCAATCTTTCTTCAAAACCAAAGCCAGGGCCGACCCCGTGGCTCACTCGGGAGAGTGTGGCGCTGGTAGCGCCGAGGCTGCGGGTTCAGATCCTATATAGGGATGGCCGGTGCGCTCACTGGCTGAGCGCGGTGTGGGCGACACCAAGCCAAGGCTTGCCATCCCCTTACCAGTCACAAAAACAAAAACAAAAACAAACAAACAAAAAACCAAAGCCAAACCAATACAAGAAAGAAAAAAAAAAAAGAACCCTCTTTAAGGTGTATCAACAGTGTGCTGCCTTTGGGAAGAATATTTTCAAATCTTTTTTTCCCTTCCAAATTCAAATACAACGGCCAGATCCATTTCTCAGACCTTCCGATGTCCTCCCTTCCCAGCACCTTCAGTGGAGTTCACGCAGGGCGAACAGGCTCCACTATGCATTCGTATCTTATAGTTTAAATGTCGGCTGGGAAGAGAAACGGAGCACCTCGAAGGGACAGCCTGTGGCCCAGGCCCAGGGTATCTCAAAGGCCCCTCTTTCCCCACAGAATATGAGAGAAAACTGGGGACTCCTCAGGGACCCTAATTCATTGGAGGTTTCAATGTGGGAAGAGGGACTCCCAGGTAGAAGGGGTCAGGTCAGCTGAAGGCTCAGCCCAGGCCACACCCAGGCAGCATCTGCTCCCTGCAGGGCCACAGCCTCGTCATTCACATGCTGCAGCAAATGGATAGGGAAAAAGCGCTCAGTACAGAGATCAGCCTGCTATCAGTGGGTCAGAACGTAGAGACGAGATCGGGGTGGTTTTCATTTGTCGTCATTTTATTTATTTTCCTAATTTTCTATAACAAGATATATTATTTTTGTAATTAGGAAATGCAATTAAATGTAAATGTAAATTAAAGGATACAAATGACATACTGGAAAAGATTAGTCACTTGGCATCCAAACTCCCATGTGGCGAGGAGACCGCAAGTCTCCAAAGTGTACCACATGGGGATGAGAATGATTATAGTCTGCTCATTCAGGTCAAGAAAGGGCAATTGTGATCTGTGATTCACTGGACCAAGTGATTCTCACCCACTTGTATGGAAGCAGTCATCAAATAATTGTCAGCATATTTAACTTCCTTGTTTAGTTTTTAATGGCATTATTAAAACCATAAAATACACTGTGTCTTAATTAATTTAGCTAATCTTATTTTCTGAAATAAGCTCTCTTTCAGCAACAACTGAATACTCTAAAAAAAAAGCAGGAACTTAGAAAGGGGGGTGGGTGCAGATAAATTCCCACACGTGTCCGGACACATGCACACACACCCATGCACAGATACATACCCACACTCATGCACACATACATGCAGCAGATACATGGCCACACATGCACATACACATGAATGCACAGATACATGTGCCCACATGCATGCACAGATACATGCCCATATGCATACACAGATACATGCCCATACATGTGCCCACACAATGCCCACGTGTATGCACAGATACATGCCTACACACGTACCCACACACATGCATGCAGATACATGCCCACACATGCATGCACATATAAGCCCCCCCACATGCATGCACAGATACATGCCTGCGTGTGCCCACATGCATGCACAGATACATGCCCACATGCATGCACATACATGCATACAGATACATGCTCACACAAATACACGCAGATACATGCCCACACATATGCACGCACATGCATGCACAGATACATGCCCACATATGCACGTACACACATGCATGCACACACATGCATGCACAGATATGTGCCCACACATGTGCCCACATCCACGCACACACACACGTGGAGAGTTTTCTACTTCCCCACGCCTCCCCCTCACACAGCTTGGCCACAGATTGGATCTGTCACTAGCTTGCTATTTCCAGGCAGTATCTAATTTGGCTCTGCAGCTGTGTGCTCACACATTGCAAACGCACTCGTTCACCCTCCCTTCTCATTGCGCAAACACTAAAAATACACACGTGGATGCACCCTGCCCCTTCACTGGTGACAAACATGATGGCTTGGCACCCAGCCCAGCCCTTAACGTTGAAAACGCAGAGTTGGGTGCCAGTAATTAGATAGCACACACCAATAAATAACTAACGTGACCACTCGTGCAATCACCAACCTTTGATTGACACACATGATGAAAAGCGTGTCCAAAACTCAGTAATTACTGAGCAATCAAGCTCAAGACCGAATGGGTCTTCATCAGTGAGTTGAAAGAGAATAAATGACATCCAGCAACGTCCCAGGAGCCTGGGCTCACAGGCCCCAACCCTGGGGCTGGAGATGGGGTGGGGTGGGTGGGGATGCTACTCACCGGGGGTCCATCAGCTCCAGGCATTCCTGGGAGGCCTGGTTTTCCCAAGGGACCCTAGAACAGACCAGAGGCTACATGAGGAAATGCCCTCAGGTGACCTCTTCTCCAGGCTTCCCAACCTCTCTGTGTGCCCCAAGGTTACTTTTCAACATTTCTACCCAAAGAGCATTTGTTGAGAAGGATGCTCAGAGGCGCTCTTCTTGCTGTTTCTAGCACCTTCAGGTTTTGCTACATGAACAAAGTCCCCTCCACCCCCACGCACTGGCCCCCTTCGCCCTCCCGTCCACTGCTCAGATGGCGGTCCTCGCAGGCGGCAGCATCAGCACCCCTGTGGCCCCTGCAGCACTGTGCCTTCCTCACTTCCCCAGGGCCTGGCCCCCGGGGTCTGCAGGGCCGGGGAGAGGCCCCAACATGGGAACCAAACTCTCAGCACAACACACGGGCAAAGGCGCTTCACTACCCTGACACAGCAGCTCGCCAACATCTGTCCTAAGTAGCCCTCCAGGGGATACTGGGGCACTCAGAACCAGCCCTTAGAGGTCATCTTGCTGGTTAACTCAACCAAGATGAGTTGAGTCACCTGAAATGTCTAACACCTGGGTTAAGCCCCAAGCTCTGCAGGGTGAGGGCCCCCAGCACTCTCCCAGCACCCAGGACAGAACAGGTGCCAAATTTAGCAAAACCAAACAGAACTAAATAAAAATAAACAGCAAAACAAAATACCCAGTTAAATATGAATTTCAGATAAACAACCAATAGTTCAAATTTAACTGGGTGTCCTGTATTATTATTATTTTTTCTTACTGAATCTGGCAGCCCTACACATAGCTGGAGAACAAATAAATGAGTGAATGAATGGATTTACAACAACGAGAGACACAAATCCAAGATCCTCCCCAGAGCTTATCTGCTGGGGACACGAGCTCTGGTGCACGGGGGGAGCACGCTGCAAGCTGGCGAAGGCCAGCGGCCCCCCAGGCCTGGACCAGGAGAGGCACCTGCAGGCAGGCGGCATCCCCACACACAGCTCAAGCCCACCTACCTTTTCTCCTGGAGGACCGATTGCACCCTGGGGGCCTGGCAGACCCTAGGAGGAGGAAAGAGCCAGGCAGGAAAGGTGAGGGACTGAATTGACTAAGAAACCCTCCCTGCCATCTACCCATCTCCCCACTGACCATCTCCCTCATCCAGGCACCAACCCGGGTTCTAGTGCCCACCAGGCAACATGAGGGGATGCAACTCTGAGGGGAGAGCCTCCCTCCGTGCTGCTCATTCCCGGGGCGCTGGACTGAGACCCACACCTCCCTTGGCCTGATGCCCACGGGCCACCTTCCCTGGGCTCACTTACCTGAGCACCTGGATTACCCTGCTGTCCTGGGGGGCCAGGCTCTCCCTGGGGACCCTGTAGGAAGCAAAAGCAAAAGCACTTAAGGGGGCTCTGGGAACCGTCTCCCCTTCCCTGGGGTCTCAGGCTCCCCTGCATCTCAGCCTTCCATCCTTTCAATCTGCACCAGGGCGAGGTGCCCCGGAAGAGCTGGACAGTAAAAGGCAGGCGGGTCCCACCGCAGACAGCAGACCCAGGACCTGGCCTCTCCCCGGCTGTTGACATTGGCTCTGACACACTGAGCTCTACCTGTTTATGCAAACACAGCTAGACATCCATCCAGGAAGGAACGCGTGAAAGGAACTCACCGGAAGATCTTTTATCTGGTAGAAAACTACCAAATTACCCTGTTATGCTAAAGTCTCCCAGTGCCCTGAAACAGACACGGGTGGCCCTGAGACTCAGCTCTTGGTGGGCATTTCTCACATTACATGTTTATCACCAGCTCCTCGTACACAGTGAGAAAGTGACTTCCCTCCACCCATGCACTGACTTGCTCTCGCTCTGGATAGAAAAATATCGACTCCAGGTTTCAGCACGAGTGGCTCTGCCACCGGGGTGGGTCTGCACCCTTCCCTTCACACCCCAACTGACATGAGCCACAGTAGACCACCCAGCTGGCAAGGCGTGTACCCAGGGTGAGCACCCTGAAGCCAGGCTATGGGACCCCCGACACTTACTACATTTCCTTTCGGGCCTGTTTGGCCATCCATACCCGTTACACCCTGCATGAGATTTCAAAAAGAAAGAAACATATACTAAATGCATAAGAATTAACAATGCTCAAAAGGAAAATCCCACTCAACACAACTCAGACACTTGGCCCGCGATGTATCAGAGGACAGACAGCACATTCTTTGGGGAAGGGGAAGACTTGATCCTAAATTCCTTCCCCGGAGTGCCCACTGATCGGCCCCTAGTAACCCTCAGCTGAGGGTTAACCGGGCTGCCAGGCCCCGCATCCTCTGAAAAATCAGGTCACCAGGGCTGAGGAGGGTGAGGGGTAGGCCCAGCCCTGGGGAATCCGCCCACCGGGTCAGAGCCCCCTGGAACCAGGGGCTTCTGCCTCCTTCCACAACTTTCACAGAAGCTGCGGGAGGTTCTTTGAAGCAGGGACGAAACGTGACATCCTGGGAAGGAGGGCAGACAATATGTGCGGGGACAGTTGCACAGCCAGCCAGCCTCAGACTCCACCCGCACAACATGTGCAGGAGCCGTGCGCACTGAAGACCGGCTGACACCTCACACTGGCAGCAGGCCGGTGTGCAGAGCGCTCAGTGACGACGTGCCACCCCAGTGCTGGAGTGGGCCGCTGGCTGGGTTCTCAAGGGCTGTGGTTGGCACAGACATGCAAAATGGTGACAGGACTTACGGGAGGTCCAGGAGGGCCCGGGGGCCCCTTCGGCCCAAGCAGGCCACGTGGCCCCTGCAGGAGGAGAGAGCAAGGGAAGTTTACACGCAGCCAAGACTCCCAGATGTCCTCTCCGGTCCCCAGGCATATCTGTGCCCCGCCTGGCCTGACTCCTTCCAGGGCCCCCATGACTCGGTGACTCTGGTCTGTCTGCGTGTCTCCCAGGGAGCGTGACTGAGACTCTCTCTTGCCCTGCTCCGTCTCCCCCTCGCCACCCCACCTCTCCATCTCGGAGCTGGGAACCAGGGATGGGAGCCTAGAATTGACAGGGGCCCAGACAGGGCATCGCTGGGCACCCTCAGGGAAAGAGGGCCTTTCAAGTCAGCCAGCGCCTGTGACACTCATCCAGGGCAGGCGAGCACAAAAGTTCTCCCAGAGAAAGGCCACACGATTACATTCTGCCCCACAGAGTGCTTTTGTCCCATTCTCATTACTGGCTCCCTCTCAGATCCCTCTCTGCAATGGCACGCGACGGTATTTTGGCATCAGAGAGGCCAGGGGTGCAGGGAGGAGGGAGTCGGGTGGAACTAGGTCTGGGATGGCACCTCACGCTGAATGCGGAGAGGCAGCCTGGAGCTCAGATGTTCCCTGCGACGGCTCACCAGAGCGGAGGGGCGGGCGTGCAGGGCCACTGTCTGCCTGGGGGGCACTCACACCCACCCTGCCACTGGTGGTTAATTATCGAGCCTTCACCCCAGGCACGTGGATTTCAAGTACCCTTCATTTTGATAGAACCTTTTCCGATTCCGTAGAAGAGAAACGCTTCCCATGTTCATTGCCTCCTAAATGTCTCCTTCTTTATTTTAATACCGAGTCACATAAATGTTTTTTAGCAGTTAATAACCGAGAAGGTACTGCTTAGACATGTCGTAAGGAGAGTGCGGGGCTGATGTACCCTCCCGAGTGGGTAATCAGACGCGGACGATATAATTTAGTCCCAGTGAATCTGCAAATGCCAGCCCCTGACCTCCTGCGCACTGCATTTGCAACACTTCTCATCAATTAGCATCGCCAGATGTGCACATCACTCTGACTCGGATAGCGAAGAAAAGGGTTGTTTGAAAAGCAACAGTAAAGGAAAAGTAATTAACATGCTTTTATAGCCAAGGAAATTTGCTTTGGGCCTAAATACAAGGGCACTGCAAAAAGTTTGTGGAAAGATTCATGTTATCTTTCAATTGTATTATTCCACCAACTTTTTGAAGTCCCCTTATGGAAGTCAACTTAAGGAAAAGAGCTTGTCACTGCCCAGGGCTCCGCTTCTGGAAGTGCAGCCGTCAGAACTGCTGCTGCAAACTGGCTGATTCAGGACCTGAGACTGCCCCATGCCCACCATGCTACCCCCGATTTCTGCATGTGGCCTCTGGACACCTGCCATGACTGTCCCTGGATGGCCACCACCACTGCCCCTAGACGGCCACCACTGTCCCTGGACGCCCACCACCACTGCCCCTGCACAGCCACCACCACTGTCCCTGGAAGCCCACCATGACTGCCCCTGATGTCCACCCACCATGACTGCCCTTGGACACCCACCACCCTCAAGGGCCTGAGCTTCCTCCTGCAGGGAAGGCTCAGACTGACTCCTCGGAGCTGCCCAGCCCACTTCCCCACGTGATCGCTCCTCTCTTTCCTGGGGAAATGCCCACATTTGTCTGTTTCAAGGCTGAGTCCTCTCTACTGTATGCTCTAAGTCTATCCTGCTCCTGCTCCAGAGGCAGCCTCCACATGGAGCTGTTGCCATGCTGACGAGGCCCAGAGTCCCACCCAGTCAGTGCACTTACGGGTTCTCCAGGCAGCCCCCTGGGCCCGACTTCTCCGTCATCGCCCTGTGGAGGAGAAAAGAGGCAAGATTTTAGGGATGAGATGTGAAGCCTGGATGCCCGGATGCCCAGAGACAACTTTCCCTTCAGCCCTGTGGGAGGAGTCTGTGGCCTGGGGCTGCTTCAGCACACGCCAAAGTCACTAGGCTCTGGACCAGCCGGAAAAGCCCAGAATGTGCTCACTCCCAGGCAGTTGCAGGTGCAGAGATGCTGCAGTGGAAAGGTGAGGCCAGAGGCTCCAAGATGCCCACGCAGAAGCTCACGAGCCAGAGCTCCAGAGAGGCGAAAGCTGAGCAAAAAAATCACTTGATTCTAAGGATTTGGTTACCTTGTGACAGAAACTGGGGTTGGGTGGGGGCATCAGGGGAGACTCACGAGAGCCCCTGGGCTAGGCCTTAAGGAGCCCAATGTCTCTGCAGGGTCCCAAAGAGTTGGGGGCAGACCAAGAAGGGCATTTTCCTCCTGGCATCCCTGGTTAAACTGGGTCACGTCCAGGGGGCTGCTCCTCCTTGTCCACACACCACAGCTTCCTCCTGCCCACCCCCACACACGCAAGCACCATGCACACACACACGCCCACGTGCATGCACACACATCCATGCACATGCACATACCTGCAAGGACACATGCGTGCACACACACACACAGCCATGCACGTGCACACATGCACACACCCATACCCACACATGTGCACACACACACACCTGCAAGCACTCATGCATGCACATACACACGTGTGCACATGCACAACCATGCATGTGCACACACAAGCACACACCCATGTCCACACACATGCATGCACACAAATGCACACATACCCATGCACACACCTGTAAGCACACACGCATATGCACATATGCAAGAATGCGTGCACACACATGCACAGGACCACGTGTGCACACACACATCCATACACATGCACACACTCAAGCATGCGTACATGCACACACCCACACATATGCATTGTGCACACACATGCGTGCACACGCACACCTCCTCTGAATCAAGAAGCATAGATCTAGAAGGATCCCTCCCCCTTTCCTCATCTTACAGGGGCCTATGCTGAGGCCCAGACAGGAGAAGCTGCCCTGGCAAAGTCACTCTGAAAGCTGGCGAGAACGGAAATGCACGAGAGCCTGCTCCTCTTTCTCATTTCCCAGGGCTTAAGCCTTTTCCCTAAAATGTCCCCAATATCTGAAAAGGTGCCCGAGTGGGTGTGTGTGGGGAGTTCAGAGGCCCACAGTCACACGCAGCCTACGCCACAACATGGCCCTGCTCAGGTCTGAAGTTATCAGCCCCACAAAGACGCACCAGACCAGCGCAGGTGCACAAGCCCCAGGCTGAGCAGGCTGGCTCCAGCCTGTGCTCCCAAAGTGGAGGGTAGACTCCCTACCTTACTCTGTCCCTATGGTCACAGTGACTCGGCCCCTCTCTACCCAGGGCCAAAGACAGTTATCTCCTGTACTCCCTCTACCCTACCCTTCTCCCCCAAAACCCGTTGCCCACCACCCTGTGTGCCTCCCTCTGACACCTCACTCGGATGAATAAGCAGAGACACTGCTGAGCCCACTAAACTCTCTGGCGTCCTTCCCATCATGGGATCTTGGGTACCTGCCTCCTGCAGTGACAGGAGCTCTTTCTAAGACCTGTGACAGGTGAAAGCCACTCCTGAGCTCCGCCCATCAGCAGGAACAACAGAATAAATGCAAGGCAAACGCCTGCGATTCACTTCTGTCTGCAGCACCCTGCAGCCCGCCTCTCAACCCCCGGCCACTTTGCCACTCAGAATGCTCCTCTTCCTTTCCCGGCCCCTGCACACACAGGCAGCCAAATCCCACCACCAATGACATTTCATCTGCCGTTTTCCTGCCCAAACTCACTGAGGAGCAGGGCGGGCAGGTGGAGCTGGAGATACGGCAGGATACGTACCCTTTCTCCGTCTTCTCCTGGAGGTCCTGGTGGGCCAGAGGGACCGGGGTCACCCTAGGAAGTCAAGCAGGGTCAGCATCAGCACTCCTGAGAAGGTCGTGCATGACTTATTGAAGTCTCTCTTTTGTTTCTCTCTAATTTTGATGCTGAGAATCCTAAGTCCTCTGAAGACTCCCAATGTGAAAGAAGATTCTTTTGGAGATCATGTGTGCTGAGCAGCTGGGCGAACAGCTGGCTGCAGAGATTCACCCAAGTTTCACCTTGATAGCCAGAAGGCAGGAGGGCTGCCAGATGAACCACCCGGCGGGGCTGGGTGGGGGCCACAGACATGCAGGCACCCCCAGGGCACTGACTGGAGTCCAAGCTACCCTCAGCCTGAGTTCTCTGCATGAGGCAGGTGCACGTCTGCAGCCTGCACTCGCCACAGGAAGAGCCCCGGCCCGGGAGTGTGAGCTCCGTGAGTAGGGGCTGGTCCAGCTGGTGCCTCCTGCAGCTTCAGGCCTTGCATGCAGTCGGTGCTCAAAACGTGCTTGTCAGTCACTCAAACAGGCTGTTTCTAAACCAGGGACTGCCTTTAGACCTGTGTGTTCCAGTTTTCGTGTGGTTGTTGGAGAACACAGACACAGCGGCTTTGCATAAACTGCAACCACCACCCTCAGTGCATCATGGAGTTCAACAGATGATTCTTACCAACAAATTCAACAAGCGTGTGCATGTGCGTCTGTGTGTGCGCACATATACACATGCACCTGCGTGTCTGAATTGCTAAAATGTAAAAGAGGCATCCTCCAATTCAACACAAACAGGCAGAGGAGAAAATATCTGACAAGCTGCAAAAAGCCATCCCACCGAGTTCACCCTGAACAGCATGAGGAAACCAGGGCAGGTGGCCAGGTGTCCTTACCCCCGTCCCTTCTTATCAGGAACAGCCACTGGAGATTGTCCCCAGCCTCCTGGAACCACTACTTTAACAGTGCAAAGTATTCTTGGCAGCTCCCGAAATGGTAGCTGTTTGGATTTCTGACGACGTGAAAGGCCTCATTAAATAGAAAGTGGATTTCTAGAAGAACTCACTCCTGCCTCCTTGACGCCCCTCGAGTGAGTGGGCCCGTGTGGCTCATTCTTTGTAAGCTGCAGATAAGAAATCCAATTTCTCTGGGCTGACTTTTCATCAACAAAGACAGTGTCTTGGGGTTCTTGTCCAGGCACTGATCCCATGAGGCTTGCTTAGTGCCTACTTTGGAATCGAGGGGACTCACCCCACATAAGAACTCTAAGGGTGTCTGGAAGGACCGCCCAAGGAATACCTCTGCTGCACAAAATCCATCCAGCCTCTTACAAAGGACATACTTACTCTGTGGCCCTTCTCACCGGGCAGCCCAGCCAGGCCGTCGAAACCGCGGTCACCCTGCAAGCAGGACAGAAAGGCTGCTTCAGACACCACCCCACACACATGGATGCAGTGATAGCCACCCTTCCTTGGGGCACACTTCATGCAGCATCTATGTACCCTGGACCCCAGGAACCTTGGTGGCCACCGGCCAGCCGCTTCACCACAGTCCACAGCCTTGAGTCTATAATCCTAGCCTCTTCCCCCACAAACACCCACAAAGACTGTGAGGGAGAAGCAGCTTTGTTCCTGGGTCACAGACCATGGGCCTCAGGTCCTCAGATGCAGGGCATGTGCCCTCGGTCTCCCCGCCCTGCTCAACGCTACATCCTCCGGCCGGGGGCTGCCAGCACGCAGCAGGCTCGCACCACAGACACCGGCCGGCCCGCGGCATCCCGGCTTCCAGGCCTGCCTGCCTTCTGCACCTCCCGGGCCCAGGAACAGCGCCCTGCCCCATGTGTGCTGCAGACCAGACAGGTGATGTCAAGGGTGTTTCAGGTTTTCAGTGATTTTGTTGTTGAAAGAAAACCAGAATCTGTTGAGACAGATTCAGTAAGACTGTATTCTCCTTTCATCAGCCCAGGTCACCCGAGGCCAGAGTGTCTCATTAGCTCAGGGCTCACGGGAAACACTTCAGCGTTCACCCACACCCGTTAGCATTCCTGGAGGCCCCTGGTGACCCAGTCTCCACCCCTTCCATGTAATGGCTGCTGTCCCCCTGAGGGCTCCTCACTGGAGAAAGTCAGTGCCTCCCTGGCACCTCCCATGGCCTTAGACTAACCCTGCCAGGAGCCGAGAAGGAGGGTGAGCCAAGAATGGGGGAGAAGCTTCAGATCACAGCCAGGGCAGAGGGGTGGACTCACTGAACCCCAGCAGTGGGGAGGGTGCGGGGCTCCCACGGGCACCGGTGGGTGCACACCTGCAGCAGGTCTCGTCCACACACAGACGTGCCCTCCTGCATTCACCCACACGCCCCAACAGCCCCAGGAGCACAGACGTCCCAAGCCTGGACAAGAAGGCTCCTGCCCCCACCTGCCCCACACGTGTGACTTAGTCACCAGCACATTCACAAATGGGTTCCCAGCTGGGATGCCACCCCCACCCTTGTGCACCACTCACCTGAAAGAGCAAACATCCCCCTTGAAAAGCCAACCCCAACTGCCATACTCGGTCCTGAGTCCACCCACCAGGCCCTGCCTTCCTGTCGACATGCCAGAGTGACCGGTCCAAACACTCGTTACCTATCACATCGTCATCGGACCAACAGGGTGTCCGCATTGCCATGACAACAGGAGTGATGTGACCAGGGAACTGGGCACCAGGAGGGTGTGAGCGGCGCCTACCTTGGGGCCGGTCTGTCCGGGCATTCCTCGTGCTCCGTCACTCCCAGCGCGACCCTGGAACAGAAGAGGCAGACTGTCAGCACACAAGAGCAGGTGGATCGCCGAGACCTGGAGTGTGTAGAGTCCCACAGAGGCCACACCTGCCACAGGCCGCTCCCCGGGTGGTCGCCTGGTCAGAGGACCTCAACAGGGAGCCCTGGTGCCTCTGTATGCCTGACACCAGAGCACTGAGCACACCCAACCCCTGGGCATGGAGAAAATGGTGCAACGTGCAGATGAGTCCGCGCCAGGGCAGGAATCCTCCAGCGAGCCCCGTCCACCTGCGGGCTGCTGGCACTCAGCTCGGGCGAGGGAGCACGCTGGCATCAACGCACAGTGCCTCTCCATGACTCGGATGTCAAGTTAAAGACCCGAGACTCACAAGGGAGGGAAAGAGGCACCTGGTTAGTCCATCTGACTAAGGGAGAAACTGAGGCCCAGAGGGGGAAGTGTCTGAGGCCACACAGCTCTCTGGAGGCAGGGTCTGTGCTTCGAGCAGTTCACTGTGTCCCTGCTGGACACTCTCAGCAAAGGAACAGTCAAGGTCAAGCCCACCGTGCCCATCTGATTAACCATGGGGCTGAAGGGCAGGGCCTGGACCTTCCAGGGTCCACTATGAAGGCCCACGATCACCATAGAAGAGCCCTACAAAGGGACAGGGACTCACCAGCCTTTATTAAATGCAGCCAAATGTCCACTCGCTAACAAGGGACGCCAGCCAGCCGAGGATAAAGGGCTGGCCCGGCTAAGCTCCCTCCTTTCCATTTTCCACGTGCACCTCCTCAAAGGAAGCCGTCGCCCGCCAACTCACCACCAAGCAGAGAGAGCATCTGGACAGAGGCGGCTTTTGTCTCAAAGTACAGCACAGTCAGCGAAGGACAGCAGAGAGGAAAGAGGAGAGGGGTCCGAGAGACCACGAGGAGACGGACTTTGCTCCCCCAGGGCAGAAGAGGCCGGAGCCACTAGGGGTGAAAGGTCATCTCAGAAAAGGCCTGAGCAACACAGCTCCAGGGCAAAATGCCCCCCCCCGCCCCAAAACAGAGGGGCCGATCGGGAGCCTCCCCTAAGACTTCCAAACATTTATAGAAATCAAGGGAAACGTGTCAGAAACGTTCTCAGGACTTCAGAGCATGATGCTGCCCTGCAAACTGTCCAGACACTTCTGCAGCCCACCAGGACTCGCCCCTCGCAGGTCGCCCAGCAATGCCCTAAAGAGGCCATCAGAGCCTCAGGAGCTGCCACCCGCGTGCACACCCCCACCCCCACCCCTGCCACCAGTGCTCCCCTGCAGCTGGTCTCTGGGGCACACTCGATCCCTTAAAATGCACGCTCATTCAAGGCCCCGGCACAAGTTCACTCCGCGACTAGTCACATTACAAACCACGTCAGCGACCTTGTCTCTCTCCAGTTTCTACCTTGCCCTAACTGGGAAAATATTTCTAGTGAAACTTGACAATAAGTGTTCAGAGATATATGTGAAAAGCTTAATGAAATAAAACACTTTCCAGAATCGGATCCGAGATAAGTAACCTGATTGCCTACCAAGGATCACAGAATTCCGGAGTTGGGGACCTTTTGGGAACCATCAAGGCCACTCTGCCCCGGGCCTGCGTCTCCTCCACAGATCCTCGAGGACAATGTGACAGGAGGACGAGCATGACCACATGTTTTTTGGGCATCTTCACTCACTAACTACTATTCACCCCTGAAACAGGAGGACCCACGACCACTAGGAATTACTCGTTCATGCTCGGTGTGTCCGGAAACTACAGTGGCAGGTGAAACGGCAGCTTAAGCAGATGCACGCCCGGAAGAGGCTCACGCCTAAGCAAACACAACAACAAATACTTCCTCTCATTCGCTGGAAACATCCACTGGTTGAAAAGGTCTCTTTGGCAAGCACGATGCGGGTTAATCAGGAGTCCTGGGCTTGCCTGGACGGCGTTTATAAATGCACGCTCTCTTGCAGCAGCCATGGTCACGTGCAGACAAACGACATTCCAGATAGAAAATCCAGGCGGCCGGGAACACAAGCAAGGTGCAGGAGCCTGAGCAGGTGCCTGGCCACTTCCCCAAATGAAATGAGGCCACCCCAAAGATGTAAGGCCCACTGACGATTTTGTCTCCTCAACACCTGCTGCCATAGGGCCCAATGGCCTTAATTAAAAGTGACTCAACTAAGTAAAGGTGCTCAGGACAGAGGCAGGATGGTGAGCTGTCCCTGCCCCAGGATACAGAGTGCCCTTCTCAGCAGCTGGCTCACATGCTGGGAGGAGGACGTGCCCTTCAGACACAGTGAGCAGCCTGACTTCTGCACCGCAAGGCTTGGGAAGGCGGGGGCAACCCCTGCACTGCAGATTTAGGCCCATCAGTGACAGAGCTAAAGTCACTAAGACTGAGCCACAAGCACCAAACACTCACCCGTCTTCCAGGCTTCCCTGCTGGACCAGGTGGGCCCTGCACACCTCGGGGTCCCTGCCAGGAATCAGAGGACGGAGGGTCAGTGGCATGTAGGTCTTTTTTGGAGGAGCCAAGTCCCCATGCTCGTCCGTGTTTCCAGTCCCAGTTGCCAGCACGTGGGCATCTCGGGGACGGGGCACAGATGTGCTTCCCCTTGTGAGGGCCAGGGACAGAGAGCACAGCCTGCTTGCTCCTGCTGCAGAGTCTGGGTTATTTCTGTTCCCCTTTCAGCGTTGCATAAAGTGACAATAAGTCCCACTAACGTCCTTGAAGAAATGAATAATAAGTCCCCATGCTCGTCCGTGTTTCCAGTCCCAGTTGCCAGCACGTGGGCATCTCGGGGATGGGGCACGGATGTGCTTCCCCTTGTGAGGGCCAGGGACAGAGAGCACAGCCTGCTTGCTCCTGCTGCAGAGTCTGGGTTATTTCTGTTTCCCTTTCAGCGTTGCATAAAGTGACAATAAGTCCCACTAACGTCCTTGAAGAAATGAATAATTGGGGTATGCTATTCTAGGGGCCACCACCACCAGCAAACAGGGGACGCCCTCTGGAGAGCAAAGGGGAGGCCCCCACGTACCTGAGGCCCCATGTCACCTGGCTCGCCCTTCAGACCTCCGCTCCCAGGGGGACCCTGGGGAGACAAGTTCTGCATTAGCGTGTGCTCAGATGGGGGGCCGGGAACAGATAAGGCTACTGGGGGGCAGAGGCAGGGCAAAAAGCACACGTGGATCCGCCCCAGGGCAGGGCTGCTTCTCACAGCCAGCACACAGGATTCCACGTGGCGCCCGGCTGGCCCACTGTGAACAGACCGAGGGAAGAGCAATAACTTTGCAGAGGCAGGAAACTGCGGTTGTTTGAATCTCTCCCTAATTTTGAATGAAATTCTGGATGGAGGAACTCACAAAAGACATGAAGTTCCTGGAGACGTTTCTCTCCCCAAGATGAACTTGACCCATGGCTTAGGGCAATGTGTGCACATCCCTGTGCAGGAAGCCCTGGGGACACCTGTCTATGTCCAGGAAGCCCCGAGCCAGCCCATGTGGAGAGGACTGAACCCAGACCCACCATCATACAGCAAAGCCCACCAGAGGGCCCGCGGCACTTAAGTCCCCCATCTCCTCAACACACGCTCTCTGGAGACCCCAGCTCCAGCCCCTGTGCCCGGCACCTTGTGGGTCCTGCATGTCCCTGGACACATGCCACACTCATTGTGTGCAGCCGGGACCCCGGGTGAGGGCTAAGCTGGGCTCCTTGGGTTGGGCCGGGCAAGGCTGGAGTCATCTGACTCTGGAACAGGACTGTAGAGAATGATGGAGGCCCCCAAAAGACAGGAGCTTAGACACCTGTTCACAAGGCCAAGTCCCAGGCAGTGCGAGTTGGGGGCTCCTGCCGCATGGACATTCCCGGCCCTTGCCTGGCAGGCTCAGCTGCTGAGGCGTCCCCTATACTAAGTGGTTATGACAAGAGCAGAAAGCGTGTTCTTTGCAGGGCTGAGGGGGACCTCCCCTCCCCTCCCCCATGCCACTCCAGGATCCTCCCCACGCAGGATGGAGGTGGGGGCTGCTTCCCAGGAGTTGCTGACATCAGGTCTCCAGCTGGACTCGCCTGAACAACCTCCAGGCAATCACTCAGCCCCTACTTTGAGGGGTTGCAGCAGCACCAATGTGCTGTGTGTCCACACTGGGCACCCCTCTGGGAAAAGCCACGCTAGACCAGAGCCCACCCACCCCCTCTGCCATGGACAAGGACAGTGGGCCAGCCCTGAGGCAGCTCCTGGCTTCAGACCTGCCACGACTTACCATGGGGCCAGGTCTCCCAGTAAGACCCATGGGGCCAGCTGGTCCCCTCAACGCCAACTGCAAAGGAAAATAAGACATTCTAAGAAATGGCCAAGGGTGGCCATGACCTGGTTTGCAGGCTCCTGACCCGAGAGATGTGGTCAGGAGAGAAGGAACCAACTGAACAGGGGAAGGACAGGAGCCCACAGAGTAGAGGGTCAGAGGGGCCCCAGGAACCCACTGACTTTGCTCCTCCAGGGTCTCAGCAACAACTGCGAGTGAAACAAAAGAGGTAGGGGTGGAAGCTGGGTCCCAGGGCCAGTGCTCACCTCCTCCTTTGGGGACGGGCCCTCCAACCACCCCCCAACTCCAGCCCCCACGGAGAGGACCCAGCTCTCAGCCCTCCACCCCTCTGTGGGTGGGGTGTAGGTGAGCTCACATTGACTCACAAAATACTTTACTTCCCATGGAAGGCATTTCAAGCACCCCAGCCACTGGGGAGGTATCTGGGGAAAGTGGAGAACACACACGGCCCTGGGCCCTCTGTCGCTACTGGCCCCACGTGCAGAGCAGGTTCAACCTGCTTTCTCAAAGAGCCACTTGTGCTCCCATTCCTGACTCTGTTTCCCCAGCATGATGGCACTGTCATCTTGGAAGGTTTTTTAGCATTATAAAATCTTCTTATAAGCCCATGACCCACTTGGCTTCAATTAAAATACACGGAACTGAAAGGCCAGCAGGCAGGCCCGAGTCAATAAATCTAGTCGCGGGTAATGGGTTTGTTACGCGCTGTACTGCATCATTCGGGCAATTTGCTCCATAGCAACAACTCAGTCCTCAAGCCGTCCTGTAATTATCCACGCTCTGTCATTAACATCCACTGGGGGCGGCATTGGGAGCAGCATAAATACAGGGCAAACGAGGAATTACGTGGCAGCTTCCTTGTGTGCACCGCGAAGGCCCGCCCACGCCGGCCCGTGGAGTGGCAAGTGCTGGCATCACGGGCCCCGGCAGTCTGGAGCCGCGGCTCACTGACCGGCTAATCCAAAATAGGAGGCAGACGCTGCTCTGCAGACCCCACTCCTCGGGACCCCCAGCTGAGAGCGAGGGACGCTGGGCCCTGCGGCTGTCTCCCAGAGCTGCCGGTTCCACCTGGCCCAGCCTGGGGGCCAAGGCAGCCCCCTGAGGCTCCTCTTCCCATTCCTGGATCCCAGTGGAGATGAGCATCAAAGTCAGCGAGCGGAGGGAAGGGGGCCCATCGGGTCAGAAGTGCCACGGGGGCTCAGAGGCCCTCACAGAGTTAGAGGCTGGACTCTCCGAATAGACAAGGACCCCCTGAGAAACCTCCCCAATGTTCTCTGTGCTCAAGGGGGCTTCAGTGGACACTGAGGACTGGCCACCCCTGCGGCTCCCGACTGCCCGGTGGGCAGAGGCGTCTCTCCTCCCAGCTAGGCGTGGAGCCAATTCGCTCAGTCATTTCAGCCCTTGGGCTGGGCTCTGCCCCCATCGGCCCCCCCTGGGGCCCAGGCAATACTCACCCTGGCCTGCTGGAGGATGGCCTGGGCTTGGGACTCCTGGGCAGAGACCATGGGGCCTTTGGAGCCTGCATCACCGCCGCCTCCGAACCGGAACTGCAGGTGTAAGATGGGGGTCACCCCGGTGTACAGAAGTGGTGCCAATGCTGCACCCAGGCCAAGGAAGGGCCCACAGGCCTCTTAGGTGACAGCAGACCCTCGGAGGGTCTAGTCTGGCATCTTCTCACTCCAGACCCACCCTGCACACACTGCTTCTACTCTGCCCACATGGAGCTGCTCCGCCCCACCTATAAGTTCAGCCCTGGGGACACCTGGAGACTCTCCCTGTGTCCAGGAAGCCTCACCCTGAGACCCCACAGCCTCCAGTTATTGCAAAGAAAAGCCAAGGGCCAAGTGAAAAGGGCTGCGTGGGGAGGCCTAGAAAGATGTCCTGATCCCACGCTGGGGACCCACCAGCACCCAGCTCCTGGCGTCAGGTGGGCCCACAGCACCAGGCCACAGAAAGCACACTTTGGCCAGGAGACAAACGTGCAAGACCAGCACTGCACAGATGGCCCTCATCCTCCTGGGCCTGGGGTCCCCCTCTCCTCTGCAGACCATAAGGTCATGGGAAGGTCAGGTTCAAAGAGGGCGGGTGGAGGATAATGGAGGCCGATGCCTGCAGGGTCTCATTCAGAAAGAGGGACTCTGTCCCCTCTGGATCGGCCAACCCTCACCAACGTCCAGGGAGGAGGGGACACCTCAACCCCTGGTCCACTCTGCCTCATCAGTGGACACCAGGGGGAGCTGAGCCTACATCTGGGAACATCTGTCATGAGCAGGGCAGCTGTCTGCAGAGAGCCCGAGCCCACCCTGCCTGTAAAATACACCTTGGGGCTAAGATGGAGATGGGGCCTCTACCCAGGGCCCAGGAGGAAAAACCCGGGAACCCAGCGCCACATTCCCAAGCATCTGCCCTCGCAGGTGGATCTGTGTGACTGTCCCCTCCTTCTCCATCGTGAGGGCACAATGTGCTTGGCTGAGGGCAGGGAGGGTGGTTATGAGCAAGGTGGGCAACCTGGCCATGCCTGGACCACACCCAGACCATGCCAGGCCGTGCCTTGCCTGCTCCCATGGCCTGCAGAAGCTTCACCTGCTGAGCCTCTGCCTCCTTAAGGGCGCCTCTCTGGGGTCCCCGTGCTGGCTCTCCAGGGGTTAAACAGGAGCCAAGGGGGTCACGAACCCCTTCCCTTGATAGTCCCCTATAGTCCCACTGCAGAGCCCCTAGAGCCGCAGCCACGAGCGCCCACTGCTGGGGGAACCACTGGGCCCCGAGAGCCGCTGTCTGAACCTCTGCAGCGTCCCCATCTGGATGAGAGATCAGAGGGGCTCCTCCACTTGTCACAGACAAAAGTGGTTCACACAAAAAACAAGGGCCTGGGCTTCATTGTGACACCAGTGGTAAAAAGGACCACAAACCCAGAAGGTCGGGAATAAGACCCCTGTGGCTACAAAGGACAACACACACCCGGAGGTAGCTTCCAAGGCTGTCCCCTGCCAACGAGCGCCGGCTGGTTCTTTGGGGAGCTGGGGCTCCAGCCCGCATCGCAGGGAGTGGAGAAACACCACCCACACTAAGGTGCTACCTAATCAGGGCCACCCCAGGAGGTGGTGCTCCTGGCCTCTCTTCCCCCACCGATGGGTGAGCCCGACAGGGAGGCCGACCTCATGATGGCATCTCACCACCCGACTGACCTCCCCTGCGTTCTGGCTTGCACCACCTCCCAGGACACAGGCAACTCCCTGGGGAATGGCTGGCTCGGGTTGGGTTAGTCTGTGGCTGAGGAGACCGTTCCCCTTGGAGGAGAGCCCCTGTCCCTGGAGCCCGGAGCCCACGTGCCCAGCCACCCACCCCACAGAGAGGCATACTCACAGGCAGCATGAGCATGGTCCCTGGAGGGCCGGGCAGGCCGTCAGCCCCAGGAAGGCCTGGGCGCCCAGGNAGACCCTCGGAGGGTCTAGTCTGGCATCTTCTCACTCCAGACCCACCCTGCACACACTGCTTCTACTCTGCCCACATGGAGCTGCTCCGCCCCACCTATAAGTTCAGCCCTGGGGACACCTGGAGACTCTCCCTGTGTCCAGGAAGCCTCACCCTGAGACCCCACAGCCTCCAGTTATTGCAAAGAAAAGCCAAGGGCCAAGTGAAAAGGGCTGCGTGGGGAGGCCTAGAAAGATGTCCTGATCCCAGGCTGGGGACCCACCAGCACCCAGCTCCTGGCGTCAGGTGGGCCCGCAGCACCAGGCCACAGAAAGCACACTTTGGCCAGGAGACAAACGTTGCAAGACCAGCACTGCACAGACGGCCCTCATCCTCCTGGGCCTGGGGTCCCCCTCTCCTCTGCAGACCATAAGGTCATGGGAAGGTCAGGTTCAAAGAGGGCGGGTGGAGGATAATGGAGGCCGATGCCTGCAGGGTCTCATTCAGAAAGAGGGACTCTGTCCCCTCTGGATCGGCCAACCCTCACCAACGTCCAGGGAGGAGGGGACACCTCAACCCCTGATCCACTCTGTCTCATCAGTGGACACCAGGGGGAGCTGAGCCTACATCTGGGAACATCTGTCATGAGCAGGGCAGCTGTCTGCAGAGAGCCCGAGCCCACCCTGCCTGTAAAATACACCTTGGGGCTAAGATGGAGATGGGGCCTCTAGCCCGGGCCCAGGAGGAAAAACCCGGGAACCCAGCGCCACATTCCCAAGCATCTGCCCTCGCAGGTGGATCTGTGTGACTGTCCCCTCCTTCTCCATCGTGAGGGCACAATGTGCTTGGCTGAGGGCAGGGAGGGTGGTTATGAGCAAGGTGGGCAACCCTGGCCACGCCTGGACCACACCCAGACCATGCCAGGCCGTGCCTTGCCTGCTCCCATGGCCTGCAGAAGCTTCACCTGCTGAGCCTCTGCCTCCTTAAGGGCGCCTCTCTGGGGTCCCCGTGCTGGCTCTCCAGGGGTTAAACAGGAGCCAAGGGGGTCACGAACCCCTTCCCTTGATAGTCCCCTATAGTCCCACTGCAGAGCCCCTAGAGCCGCAGCCACGAGCGCCCACTGCTGGGGGAACCACTGGGCCCCGAGAGCCGCTGTCTGAACCTCTGCAGCGTCCCCATCTGGATGAGAGATCAGAGGGGCTCCTCCACTTGTCACAGACAAAAGTGGTTCACACAAAAAACAAGGGCCTGGGCTTCATTGTGACACCAGTGGTAAAAAGGACCACAAACCCAGAAGGTCGGGAATAAGACCCCTGTGGCTACAAAGGACAACACACACCCGGAGGTAGCTTCCAAGGCTGTCCCCTGCCAACGAGCGCCGGCTGGTTCTTTGGGGAGCTGGGGCTCCAGCCCGCATCGCAGGGAGTGGAGAAACACCACCCACACTAAGGTGCTACCTAATCAGGGCCACCCCAGGAGGTGGTGCTCCTGGCCTCTCTTCCCCCACCGATGGGTGAGCCCGACAGGGAGGCCGACCTCTCATTCAGAAAGAGGGACTCTGTCCCCTCTGGATCGGCCAACCCTCACCAACGTCCAGGGAGGAGGGGACACCTCAACCCCTGATCCACTCTGTCTCATCAGTGGACACCAGGGGGAGCTGAGCCTACATCTGGGAACATCTGTCATGAGCAGGGCAGCTGTCTGCAGAGAGCCCGAGCCCACCCTGCCTGTAAAATACACCTTGGGGCTAAGATGGAGATGGGGCCTCTACCCAGGGCCCAGGAGGAAAAACCCGGGAACCCAGCGCCACATTCCCAAGCATCTGCCCTCGCAGGTGGATCTGTGTGACTGTCCCCTCCTTCTCCATCGTGAGGGCACAATGTGCTTGGCTGAGGGCAGGGAGGGTGGTTATGAGCAAGGTGGGCAACCCTGGCCACGCCTGGACCACACCCAGACCATGCCAGGCCGTGCCTTGCCTGCTCCCATGGCCTGCAGAAGCTTCACCTGCTGAGCCTCTGCCTCCTTAAGGGCGCCTCTCTGGGGTCCCCGTGCTGGCTCTCCAGGGGTTAAACAGGAGCCAAGGGGGTCACGAACCCCTTCCCTTGATAGTCCCCTGTAGTCCCACTGCAGAGCCCCTAGAGCCGCAGCCGCGAGCACCCACTGCTGGGGGAACCACTGGGCCCCGAGAGCCGCTGTCTGAACCTCTGCAGCGTCCCTATCTGGATGAGAGATCAGAGGGTCTCCTCCACTTGTCACAGACAAAAGTGGTTCACACAAAAAACAAGGGCCTGGGCTTCATTGTGACACCAGTGGTAAAAAGGACCACAAACCCAGAAGGTCGGGAATAAGACCCCTGTGGCTACAAAGGACAACACACACCCGGAGGTAGCTTCCAAGGCTGTCCCCTGCCAACGAGCGCCGGCTGGTTCTTTGGGGAGCTGGGGCTCCAGCCCGCATCGCAGGGAGTGGAGAAACACCACCCACACTAAGGTGCTACCTAATCAGGGCCACCCCAGGAGGTGGTGCTCCTGGCCTCTCTTCCCCCACCGATGGGTGAGCCCGACAGGGAGGCCGACCTCATGATGGCATCTCACCACCCGACTGACCTCCCCTGCGTTCTGGCTTGCACCACCTCCCAGGACACAGGCAACTCCCTGGGGAATGGCTGGCTCGGGTTGGGTTAGTCTGTGGCTGAGGAGACCGTTCCCCTTGGAGGAGAGCCCCTGTCCCTGGAGCCCGGAGCCCACGTGCCCAGCCACCCACCCCACAGAGAGGCATACTCACAGGCAGCATGAGCATGGTCCCTGGAGGGCCGGGCAGGCCGTCAGCCCCAGGAAGGCCTGGGCGCCCAGGGGGACCCTGCGGACGGAGAGAGCTGGGTCAGAGGGCGATCGGGGATGGGGCTGGGCCGCAGCAAGAAGGAGCAGGTGGGAAGAGATGCCCAAGGGGAAATGCGCTGGACAAGCTCAGAATGATGCAAGACGCCCCAGCAGAGAAGGTTCCAGAAACCCCAGCCCAGCGAGGAGGTGTATGGCTATGGGAGAGGGTCAGGAAAGGCTAGGGCAAGAGGCAGGAGGACAGAGGGAGGTCTGAGCTGGATCTGGAGGAACCAGAGAGAGGAAAGGCCGGAGACTGCGGCCAGGCAGGCAGAGGCAGCGACAGCCAGCCCGGAGGAGGGCAGGGTGCAGCATCGCGGCCTCACACCCCAGGACGCTCCTGCCAGGTCCACACCAACAGAGAGAAGTCGAGGCTCAGAGGCCCGGTTCTGCTGGCACCGTCACTGAGGTGCTCATTCGTCCTCAGTCCAGCCTGCGGTCACTTGGATGCAGGATGGGACACAGTGTCCACTTGTTTGGGCAGATGCAAGAGGATGTTGTCAATGGAGGACCGTCCCCAAGAACACACACTCAACTTAAGCAAATCTGAGAACCCACTTACACGCAAACAGCGTTCTCCGCACACCCAGCCAACGCGGCCTCTAACGCAGCACCCAGACAGACAGCCTGGGACTGGGTTCTCTAGGGCGACGCCGGCCAGTTACAGGACCACACGAGTGCAAAGCTGTTAGGATGGTTTATTCTCAGAACAACGTTTCATCGCTCAGCTTTTTCACTAACGTGGGCAGACGCCCAGCTGGCTTGGGGTGGGTGAGGTCTGTTTTGCCCATGGAAGGAAGTTCAACTCCCTTCTTCCCGATGAACACCGATGCCAGCCGACCACACTGCCACCTCCCCGATGGCTCCAGCCTTCTGTACCAGGGACAGCTATGCTCCAATGTGTGTTCATGCCACCGAGCATGACGCTCCTGGTGAGGACACGGGATTGATTCGCACTCCCACCAGGAAGGCCAAGAGTCTGAGTGTTCTGGAATCATCTGGGCCAGAACCAAAACTTGCCTGCCTTATCTTTAGCAGTTATATTTTATTACAGAAGTAATCCGTGTTCTTGTGAAATGTTGTACAGCACAGATTCAGAGTGTGAAAAGGAAGCCTCTTTCCTTCTGCAGAAGTAAACGGCGCTAAAGTCTTGAGTGCACAAAGAGAAAGAGCTGGAAATGTACACGCTAAACACACGTGCTAAACACACACTCCAACACACTTGTTGCTCCATGAGGGTGTGTGGCTCGGAAGTGGTTTTCCCTCTTTTCGGGGGGATTGTCCCTACGGCAGACTGGGCGTTTATTTGACCTGTCCTCTCCTGATGCACATTTGGATCGGTCCCAGCTTCCTTTATGAAAAACACTGCTGAGTATTCCTGTTAGGCAGGTCCCTAAAAGCAGAACTGCTGGGTCAAAGGATTTACACTTTTTTAAAAACTGCTAATAGATACTGCCAAACTATCCTTGCTTGCCACTTTGGAAAAAATTCTCAGAAGACAAAAATCCTGCTTAACGAAGAAAGATCCAGAACGTGTTCTGCTGCCTGGGTTTCATCTTAGAAACCCGGTGGTGACAGCAGCTCACAGCTGAGCTTTCTGCATCACAATCTTGACCCCAAACCAAACCCCCAATTTAAAACTTGGGCTCAGTGTCTCCCAGGGTTGAGGTACCCTCTGCGTGGAGTATGCGTGCGTGCGGGCGTGTGCACATGGGCACGCTCCTGTTCGCAGGGTGCACAGCACTGGGAGCGGGAAGTACATGGAGGGCCGTCCCCATTGCCCATTTGCAAAGACCCTCATCTCGGGTCCTGACGCCTGCTCCCTCTTTCCGTGGTGGTGAAGATTCAGCCTCAGCGGCTGGGAGAGCAATCTCACTCTCCCTATAGAATGTTCCTCTCGTCTACAACCGGAATGATTCCTGAGATTGTGCAAGAGATGAGCAAGGATAACTCAAAGCCCTGGAGGACAGAGATAGCTTGGAAGGGAAAGGAAAGAATGTCCCCACCCCCACAAATCCTCCCAAAATGTTAAAATTCGAGACAAGTCTGCACAGCCACTCACATAAGCCTGCATTTAGCATCACTTGAAAAAACCATCAGCAAACCTTTGCCAAGCTGCCGTCTCCAACATCAGCAAACCTTTGCCAAGCCATGGTCTCCAACATAAAGACTGTCCCCTGAGCTGGAAGACGGGGCTACATCTCAAAGCCACTCTTCCGTTTTTTATGACACTGAGCATGGCTAATGACGTGGCTCGCCTTCTGCCACATGGCTGGCGCCAGACGCAGGAGACACTGCAGCAAGCTGGCACAGAGGTCGTAAGGACACTACTTGGCTCCAGCCACCTGGCTGAAGGCAGAAAAGGAAGTACCTCCTGGCCTTCGCTCTAGGCCAATGTGTGAGCTGTATGGCTTGATCAGCTGGCCCCAAATCAACGCCCTGACATGGGCAAACCAAACTGTTCTGAAAGCACCAGCACAGAAGGGCTCTCTATGCCAAACCTACACCAGGTGAGGAAATCAGGCACCCACTTCCAAATTCAGAAGCCACTGGTACCCAACGGGGGGGGGGGGTTTCCTCAGGATGTCCTGGAGTCTCTTGTACACAGATGACATGACAGAGTGCTCAGACGCCAAGCAGAGTGGCAGTTGCAGATTCAGTACCCAAAACTGAACCCACGTGCCCTCTGCTCAGCTTCCGACTAGAGGCGCAGGGCCCCCTCCAGGCTGGGGTCTGGGTCAAAGTGGAAAGCCAAGAAGCCTGAACCTTTTCTCCTAACAATGCTGGAGCCCCAAAGACCAGAGGCAGTTTTGCTTTTGTGCTTGGAAAGACCCAGAGAGGAGAGCAGCGTGGTGCTAATCTCTCTAGACCCCTAACTCATGCATGGTTTTTGCTTTTAGGCCCACGCCCGTGCAGTTACGGCTCGGGAGCAGCCTGCAGAGCACACTGTGGTGAGTCCCTGCTCTATGTCACCTGCCACAGAACGTGGGCACAACACGTGCTGTAGGCTGAACGGTGCCCCTATAAAAGTTATGTCCACGTCCTGGAACCTGTGAATGTGACCTTACTTGGGAAAAGGGTCTTTGCAGATGTAAATTAAGGATCTTGAGATGGGATCATCCTGGATTAGGGTGGGCCCTAAATCCAAGGACAAGTGTCCCTAGAAGAGAAGGGGAAACCGTCACAAAGACACAGGGGAGAAGACCGTGTGAAGTCGGAGGCAGAGACTGGGGTGATGCGGCCACAACCAAGGGAGCCAAGGACAGTCACCAGCCACCACTGCTGGACCAGATGAGGAAGGACTCCGCCCGGGAGCCCCCAGTGGGAGCAAGGCCCTGCCAGCACCTTGACCTCGGGCCTGTGGCCTCTGGAACTGAGAGAGAATAAATTCCTGTTGTTTTAGGCCACTGAGTTTGTGGTGATTTGTTACAGCAGCCGTAAGAAACTAAAGCAACTAATCCACCATTCATTCATTCAGCGGACATTTATGGAGCCCCTTCCAAGGGTGAGACACCCTTCCAGGAGCCTTTAAGGCTCCACCTAAGAGGCCCACAGCCCGAGGCCAGAACACACCAGAAGGCTGATGTGCAAGACTGCACCCCGCAGCAAGGGCCAGCCACCAGAAAACCCTCGGGGAGGGGCTCTTTACACGCTCACCGCCAAAGACAACGGCTCTTGGTGAGACCCGGGCCCTGATGGGCCAGCGTGAGACGGAGGAGCTCGCCTGTGGCTTCCTTGGTCATTTTTACTCACTAACAATAATAAACGGCACAGCAGGCTGTACACAGCACACACGTACCCCGGACCCCGACCGTGATTTCTGCCAACTGCCCTTTTTCTGTAGAAACTCCCCCAGGTGCTCTTCCTCCCCTCCCCTCCTCTCCATAAACTGTGCTCGACTTTCTTGTCTATACCAGAACGTATACACGCAAATGAACCTTCCATTCGATCCATAGCTCCTTCTGGGAGCTGTGCACTGGTTCCAGGGCTACTGGGGGGGGGGGAACCCACCTTTCTCACTGCTCCTCTGAAAAGGCATCTGAAGCTTGGACCAATTCCTACCAACAGCCTCCAGGGACAATACTTCGAAGGTGAATGTGATTGGAAACAGCCAGAAGTCATTCAAGACCAGGCTGCTCACAAAAGCAGCACACAGCCCTGGGCCACCCTTCACTGCAGGGCCACCCTGATGCAGTGAACCTAGACTGTATATGTATGTGTGTGCACGTGTGTGTGCCTGTGCGTGAGTGTATGTGTGAGCATGCGAACTCTCTCAGCAACTCTGCCAGGATGTCCCGAACACTTCCAAGCACAAGCAGAGACTGGATCTGCACCTCCATGACCGGAGGCTGGGGCTGCGGAATATCGGGGCCCAGTGCTGCACTCACGCCTCCACGGCTTCTCTTGAAACCAGTTCCTCTGCTGGACAGCAGCCGCATGCTCATCCCTGGACTCACCCTCTTGTCAAGGTGCCAGCACCCCAGCCCGTGTCTGCACCCCAGACCCTTGGCCTACATCTAGCAGGCTGGGGGGCAGGTGATGGTACGAGGGGTGCTCCCCAAGGCTGGTACTGGGGGACAACCCTGGCACATACAAGGCACCTGTTAGCCACGCTTTCTAGTGGGGTAAAGACTGCTCTCCTTGGGGGCGTGGCTTATAGACCTTTTAAGGCATAGAAGATGCACCCGATCAAAATCCCACAGGGAAGCCCAACCTTGGAAACATAAAAAGGAGGGAGGCAGCTGGAAGGACGTGCTGGTCACAAGTGCCGAGCAGTGTCACGGGGTCATGGATGGCACGGGCACTAAACGTATCCCAGCTGTGAGGGAGGGGGTGCCCCTGTGCAAAGTGCTGACAAAACACTGGAAGAGCCTCCATTTTGGCTAGGAGAGCCTGGGAAGGGACCTGCATACTGAATCCCTGAGGCTTCCCAGGCTGATCCAGGCTTCCAGGAGAGTAAGAAGAGGCTTCACTCCCAGCCATTCTCAGACCCGAGAAAATGGATCATTGCCTCAACCAAAAATAATAAATACGCTGCAAGTGGAAAATCTGTTCAAAGTCTACCTCCAGAGCAGCAGATCGCAGAGGCCAGCCAACACCAGCTGGATCTCCTGGGGGACAATCAGAGGTAAGGAAGTTAGTGGATAAATGAAAACTTTAAACGGAGCGGGTGCTGCTCAGCATCCCACTATCAGATCATTGGAATGCTCACGAATGCCTTTTGTAACTTCCAAGTGCCCAGTGATTTCAGACCCCTGGACATCTGTCAGCAATATTCCAGGAGGCCCAGAAGAGCCGGACGCCTATGAAAATGTACCAGCAAGAGGCACAGAAGCCAGACCCTCAGAGAATAGATGCCAGGGAGGGACGGCTAACAGCCACCCAGCCCGAGTGGGATTCGGAAGCTCCCTCGGGGAGCTCAGCTTTCACATCTTCGATTTTCTGCCTCACAGCTAGAGTGGGGGCCTCCCAGTCTGGGTGCCAGCTCTGGGCTTAACCCCAGCTCCACCTCCATCTCCTCTGGGGCTTTAGCAAGTCTCCCTGCCTGCTCTGAGCCTGCCCATCTGTCCACTAAGGGAAATTGGATGGAGGGATGGCCCAGGCCCCTTCTTGATGCTGACATCTCACTGGAGCAGGAAAGGATCTGGGGAGCGAGCAGTGGAGATGCAGCACCACAGGCAGGTCCGAGGAGAGCAGCCTGGAGAGCGGGGAGCCCTGGGGCATGAGGGGCTGTCAGAAGCAAGCACCCTGGGGTCTAGCCAGTGGAAGCACAGGCTGCTGCAGGCCGGCAGGTGCACAGGGCGGCTCACAGCTTCCAGCCACAGCTGCCCATGGTGTGCCTGCTGATGCACAGTGCAGGGAAGGGGATGCAGGAGAAATGCAGATGTGAGGCCTGTCTTTGAGGAACTCACTGTCCAGCTAGGAAGAAAAGGCTCAAACAAGAGAAGGTCAGATGGGAGAATAAACGAGTCAAGGCTTCGGGAGGAAGGGCAGTAGAAACCCAGGGTGGCAGGGCCGGGGCAGCAGGGAGAGGAGGGATCTCCCTGACACACAGCGAGCGGCGCTGGTGCAGACGGGCGAGGAGACAAGCAGGTGAAGGGGGAGGATATGCCACCCCTGAATATGCCACTTTGGCATAAGGATCATTTTGTGCTAAAGGCAAATAGGAATCAATAGAAACAGGAAGAGTTCTCTTACCTCCCTTCTCCTGCTGAAAGCAGGCCCTAAGCTCCCCTTTGTGAAAGTGGCATAGCCTCACCCCCACCCCTCCCACTCCTGCCCCTGCACCAGGATTTGGAGCAAACCTTATCACCAAAGACAGGAAAACCAGCACCTGATGAGTTGCATGAACAGACCTTGCTAAAACGGCCCTTATCTTCCATGTATTTCCCATGTATTTCCTGGTCACTTTCCCATAGTGGATCACCCATCGAAGCCCAGGCCACTTCCCCACATCTTACTGCCTCTGCAAAACGGCACAAACCTCCCAGGTCTAACCACTTCTGTCAGTTTTCACTTCTTGTCTATGAAGCCTCTGCATACATAAAATTAAAAATACTACTAAGACTGTATGTCTTTTCTCCTATTCATCTGTCTTTTGTCAGTTTAATTTGCAGGTCCCAGTACCTGAACCTAAGAGAGCAGAAAAAAAGTTTTTCCTCCACTGCAGGGATTCTGATGTCACCCACTGGCAGCAGCAGTGCAGGGTCCTGACTCCACATCCAGTGCTCTTTCACATCGAGCAAGATCTGGGCACTGAGCAGTGATGATGTCCTGAACCAGGCCGGACTGAGCCAGGCCCAGAGGTTAAGTGGCACTCAGCACCTAGAATCAGTCCCCTCCCCACAGAGCAGCCGGGTCAGGCCGCAGTGCCACGGGTCACTGGCAGGGCCACCACCGCTGACCCTGGGCCAGGTTCAGCCCAAAGGCAGGGACCAAGTGGGAAGGGGCGCCCCTCTCGTTCACAGTCATTCTGGTCCTCAGTGTTAGACCAGGGCCTAGCACCGTGGGCAGTCAGTAAATATCCAGGTGACGGACAAACAGATGGAGGGATGGATGCTTGGAACGACACTGAGCTGGACTGGCGATGTCAATCCACGTCTGTGTGCCCTGTGGATAGCACCCTATCCCACACCTGAGAGAGAACACATCGCCTCCCAAAGGTGTTGCCCGCCCCTCTCTGTGACCTGTCTGAACTTCAGCAGTGTGGCCGAGGCGGGAGCAGCACGCGGAAGCGAAGCGTTCCTGAGGCCAGCCAAGCCCCTGCCTCCTGCCGCGTCCCTTGCCGGGGAGCCAAACCCACCTGTTCTGGGTCCCAGAGCCCTGGCCAGGAGAAGCACATGGCGGGGAATCTCACTGCACGGCCAGTCTGGTTTGGACTGCTCTCAGAGGTCATCCATCCATGCAGACAATGACAACCTCCCGCCCCCAATCCTAACCCAAATCCTATCACTCCAGACGGTCAGCCTCAATGCTCACCTAAGCCCCCTGCCCAGCATGTGCCCACCCCACAGAGCTCTTTCCCCGCGTAGGTGAAGGCGCCTGCCCCTGCCCGCTGTCACCTACGCTGGCCATCCTGCCTCTGCCCGATTTCCCTCGGGGTCCAAGGCCATGACTTACTGTCCCAGGACTGCGCCCCACTCTTCCCTCTGTCTGCAGGCATCCCACCCCTCAAACAACTCCCCACAGAGCTGCCTCGGAAGAGTTCCTAGCCACTGGTCCTCCGACAGTACATGCCACCTTCCCCCATGACCACACCCAGCCGTCCATCCACCCACCCAGACGCCCATTAGGCCCACACTCTGGCCAGGCAGTGTGGCGGGCCTCAGGCATAAATGCTCATTAGGACCCGCACACACTCCACGTTCCTCTCAGCTGCAACTTAGCCATCGGGTTATTAGCTCTTAACCCGATTGTACTGACATCGATATTCATTCGGACAGCCAGAAAAATAAAAGAAAAACAGTCCCAAGGGACGAGACCTACGGGCCGCAGTACTCAAGGTGCCCACCAGGTGTCAGGAGGCGATCGCGGTGGCAGGTGCAGCCTCCCCGCCCACCTGCCGGGACGTGTGGGTGGAGGATCCTCACCTGCCTGACAAGCTTCCCCTGCTTCCCGAGGCAAGGAGGGTGGAAGTGGGGAGAAACAGGGACCACGGAAGTTCTCAGATTGAGGAAGGAATTGTGCAGACTCCGCATAAAGTGGCTGCACCAGGAAAGGCACCGGGGAGGCACGGGAGCTCCTTAGCGGTCACTACCGTGATGTCTGCTGCGCTAACGCGGGGCGGCGCCCTGAGCTGACCACGGCCAGCCTTCGTGGGCATCAGAGCCCGGCTGGGTCCTGCTCCTCCCGGTGCTGCCTGCCCCAGCACAGGCCGGGCAGCAGTCGACCTCCACAAACACCTGAGGAGGCGGTGGCATCACATGTGCCTGGGGTGAGGGGCAAGGTGAGCCAGGAAATCAACAGGCCCACTGTCCTCCCCACAGCCGGAATGACACGGGTCACAGAGCAGCGAGGACACACAGACAAGCCACCCTGCGTGTGATCTCAAGGACCACAGTCAACCTCTTACCCTTTCTCCAGGGTCACCAACTTGGCCAGTGGGACCCACAGTCCCTGGAGGTCCTGGAAGACCCTAGAATGAAAAACAACATCAGGAGAGAGTTAAAAGACACAGCCACAGGGCGAGGCTCCATCCCACCTAGCTCAGCCGGGGCAGAGGCAGGGGCCGGGGCTGCTGGCCCCAGGTGTCTGCAGTAGTGCTGAGCCCCCTTTTCCATCCAGAGGTTTAAGGGGTGTCACCAACCCCTCATCCCAAGAAAGCTTCCCACAGTCACCGGAAAGTAGTAGTTGATACTCACAGCGGGGCCTTCCGGGCCTGGTGGGCCCTCGATGAGCATGCCCTGGAAGAGACAGAAGAGAAAACACGTGAGACCAAGGGGCCCATCCCTCCGAGACCCCAGACCCGAGCAGTGTGGACAGCCTCCGAGTTGCGTGCACAAGAGCCCTGCAGACGTGGGCCCTGGTCAGCTCCCACCATCTTCATGAGGCTCACAGGCAGGGCCCTCTGCAATGGGGGCTGTGGTGGGGGCCGCGATGACTGGCCTCCCAGTGTTCCAAGGCACAGCGGCCAGCCCTGGTCAGAGGTCAGCAGCCAACACGCTTCCCTCAAGAGCAGCTTCAAGAGAAGCACCTGAAGATGCTGAGATAAGAGAAAGGGACCGAGACGACCAGGCCCCCCAATCTCCTGTCTGCCTGAGGACATGGCCACCCGAGGGAGGAAGCAGACCCTGGGAGGATGCAGGGGTCCGGGCAGATTCAGGGAGGATGAGGCAAGAGGCACTGCAGGCAGAGGCCTCGGGCTGGGCTCCTGCCCCTGCTGGAAGAACCATCAGGCCCCAGGGCTGTGCCTCCAACCCCCTCTGCCCCCAGGTGGGAAATGCCTCCCCTGGCACAAAGCACAGCCCAGAGCAAATGGCAAACCCTGTCCAGTCCACCTGGACCCTCAGTTGTCCTCCTCCCCCAGCCCCGCACTGGGCCATGGCCCCCCAACCCACAATCTCTAACCCGAAATAGGACAAGGCCCCCTGCCCCTGCTGTCGGCCTGAGCCCCAGGAAGGGTGCTGTGGACAGCGATGTGGGCCACGATGGGAGCGTGGCCTGCAGCTCCCTGCTGGACGCAGCCTCCTGCTCTGAGACCCCCCATGTCCAGCCTCCCTTCCCAGTGCAGGACTTCTCTCTTCACTCCCAACCTGGCCACACCAGGGTCAGACACCCCCACCCCAAATGTCCTCTGTGCTCCAGGCCCATGTGAGGGGGGCCCAGGGCAGCACGCTCCCTTGCAGGGAGGGAAGGGTCTCCCACCCCAGCAGGGGTGTGCACACTAAGAAGCAGTGGGGTGTGTGTGTTGGGGTCCCAGGGTCTGTTCTGTGGGCCGCGCTGGGCAGGCTGGGCTTGTACACGGCACGGATCAGCCCCAGGAGGGGCGATGAACAGGGCCACCCTCTCCCGCTAATTCCCAGATGACAGAGCAGGGTGAGAGGGCAGAGGTGCCTGGCTTGGGGTGCATCCCTGCCTCCTGTTGACCCAGCCCAAAGGAACGTAGTAATCGCTGCGCTCCGAGGACGACCAGGCAGCGGGACCCTGACTTTTCTTTGAAAGTGAGCGTCCTCTTATGAAACCTGCACTTCCTTCTGACGAGCGAAAGGACTTGCCCAGCGTGAGGGTCACCAGCACTCGCTGCAGCGCTGGGCATCAGGCCAGTGGGGGGACTGCCAGTCAGGGGGCTGCAGAGCCCTCAGCTGCCCACCCCACCCACCAGGGCCCCAGTTGCTGGGAGGACAAGCGCTGTGTTTACACAGATGTACACACAGAGAAACGTGTGTGTGTGATGCGTGCAGAGGTTCCTCCAAACAGCGTGCTATGTCCCAGCTTTCCTCCCTCCTTCTCTGATGAAGGCAGCTGAGAAGGTTCAGAGACCGAGCTGGGATTAAATGAAGAAACACTGGCCACCGTGGGGCCTGCAGCTGTCTTCCCAGACACAAAACCTGCTGTCCTCAGCGAATGGGGCAATGCTGGGCCGGGCCCTCCCGCGAGGGCCAATCCCGGATCATTCCAGGCCGGCACAGGAAGGAAGGAGGCAACTGCAGGACGAAGGAGCCAGTGGAGGGGATGCGAGCCTTTCCCAGGCAAAGCCGCCACCCAGAGCGCACGCGGCCACCAGCACCGGCGCTTCTCTGCACCCCGCACACGGGCGAGAGCTGCGGCAGGTCGGCCTCTGCACCCGGCCCCCCAGCAACGCCGTCTCAAAATTCATCAGGGCAAGAGAAACAGCAGAAAAAGGGCTGACTGTCCTCCATAGTACTGTACACTAATTGGCCAAGAGCGTAGACTTTAGGTGCTGTTACCATAAAAGAAAGAAAGGGTACGGGATGACAATAAGCTAACGTGCTGGACCGCAGGAGTCACTTCGCTGTGGGTGAGTGTATCAAAACGTCGTGTCGTACACCTCAAGTATGACAATAAAAAAAGGAATAAAAGATCTGAGGCTTTGCTGAACTCAAAACAACTCGTTGTGGAGTTCCAACCATCTATTAATCAGCATACTAAAAAATATATATACATCCTAAAAAATGATAAAGCAGTGGGAGGTGCAGGTGGCGATTCAGGAGGCCCTCACGGATGTCCACCAGGTGAGATGAGTCATCGGATCTGGGGACCTCCGGGTCCCTGAGCTCCAGTGCGACCAGAAGCTCGGGGAGGTTAATAAACCTGCCTCCTCTCAGCTAGGCAGATTCTTGTCCTTTTAAGGAGCCTCTGGTCTTGCGGACAAATTACAGGGTGCAGGACACGAGTGGGAAGCAGCCAGCCGTGTCCCTGGCATGGGCACAGAGAAGAAACTGGCTCTGGGAGCTGGATGTGTGGTGAGCTGCAGCTCCCGAGAGGGAGGTCGTGGGCAGGTGCGGGAGGGAAGGAGACAGGAGGCACCCCACCCCCAACGGGCCGCCATGCCCGCACAGCCCCCAGGAGCCGGCCATCTGTTTACATGCAGCTAAGACTCTGAGGATATCTGGCCATGCTCCAGGTTGAGAAATTCCAACTGTTTACATGATCTCTCCAGGGGGACTGGCCAAAGGACCCTTGGACACTCCGAGTGGGCTGGGGGCTGGGAAGGAGCTATCACTGGGCCAGAGCGGGAGAGAGTCCTTCCTTAACTGCATCCAGATGGCTCATTTTTCCCCTAGCAAAGATGAAGTGGATTTTCTGGAGACACGCTATTTAAGTTGGACTGCTGCTGCTTTCTCAGCCCTCGCCTCCAGCCCACCCTCGCCCGCTGCCCATGTCAGTGCAATCCCGCAGAGGAACACCGAGGCCCACCCGACACCCACCCCTCCCCAAGCTCGGATTCCTCGCGTGCACTCAGAGCCAGCCCCCGCAGGGAAACGAGAAGCTCATTCAAACATATCAGCCCGGCCCTTCCCAGAGCGGGGGGGTGGGGGGACCAAGCCCAGGACCCTGCAGCCTGGGCAACTACCCTTTCCGGGGATCCTGTCTTCTTCCCCAGGCAAGACGCCCTTTTACTGAAGCAAGGCAAAGGAGCCCACAGTCAACCTCAAGTTCACCTGGGGTCCAAGCCCATCTGGGGAAACGTCACAGGAAGTCCCCACATCCCAGGGAGAGGAGCACTGCCCGGTCCACAGAGAAGCAACCTCTGCTATTGTTAACCGTCTGCAAACACCCTGGCCACAAGGTGGGAACGAGCCCACGGCCCCCGCAGCCACGCTCTCTCTGGATGAGTGTGCCCTGGCCCCCGCAGCCACGCTCTCTCTGGATGAGTCTGTCCGGGCCCCCGCAGCCACGCTCTCTCTGGATGAGTCTGTCCGGGCCCCCGCAGCCACGCTCTCTCTGGATGAGTCTGTCCGGGCCCCCGCAGCCACGCTCTCTCTGGATGAGTCTGTCCGGGCCCCCGCAGCCACGCTCTCTCTGGATGAGTGTTCCCTAGCCCCTGCAGCCACGCTCTCTCTGGATGAGTCTGTCCGGGCCCCCGCAGCCACGCTCTCTCTGGATGAGTGTTCCCTAGCCCCTGCAGCCACGCTCTCTCTGGATGAGTGTTCCCTAGCCCCTGCAGCCACGCTCTCTCTGGATGAGTCTGTCCGGGTCCCCGCAGCCTCGCTCTCTCTGGATGAGTCTGCCCGAGCCCCCACAGCCTCGCTCTCTCTGGATGAGTCTACCCAGGCCCCCACAGCCACGCTCTCTCTGGATGAGTGTGCCCAGGCCCCCACAGCCACGCTCTTTCTGGATGAGTCTGCCCGGGCACCCGCAGCCATGCTCTTTCTGGATGAGTCTGCCTAGGCCCCGCCATAACAGCCTTTTCCTGTAGCTGCTCTTTGCCCTGTGCCTGGACTTGGCGTGGAAACTTCTCATGTTGCTGAACAAGGAACCCCAGCTTTGGGGTCTCCCTCCACACCTTTGCACCCCTTTCCCTATAGCCCCTAATACTTTGGCCTCAGGCAAGCTCTGTCTTCCTTGGACCCACAAAGAGCCCTGGAAAGGGGGGCTGGGTCTGAGAAAAGGACGTGTGTACCCAGTGACTGCCTCACAGCCCAGTGGGCGCCAANCCCCACAGCCACGCTCTCTCTGGATGAGTCTGCCTGGGCCCCCACAGCCACGCTCTCTCTCTGGATGAGTCTGCCTAGGTCCCCGCAGCCACGCTCTCTCTGGATGAGTCTGCCCAGGTTCCCACAGCCACGCTCTCTATGGATGAGTCTGCCCAGGCCCCTGCAGCCACGGTCTCTCTGGATGAGTCTGCCCGGGCCCCGCAGCCACGCTCTCTCTGGATGAGTGTGCCCAGGCCCCCGCAACCACGCTCTCTCTGGATGAGTCTGCCCGGGCCCCTGCAGCCACGCTCTCCCTGGATGAGTCTGCCTAGGCCCCCTGCAGCCACGCTCTCTCTGGATGAGTCTGCCTAGGCCCCCTGCAGCCACGCTCTCTCTGGATGAGTCTGCCCGGG